CCCCCGCCCATCCCGGCTTGACTGATCGCAATCTTTCCAAAAGATGCGAGGGAACCAGTGACATGACATGGGCAAATTGAATTGAATGCAAGGCCATGACATGACATTTTCTGTTTAGTTCAGTTGACGTTGTCTAGCGGCCGAATGTGTTCCCACAGCCTTCCCGTCTTCGCCGACTCCCAAGTTCGCCGCTGAGGCGGAACACCCTTGTAGGAGTAATTTAATCAATGTGCATAGCTTACCTTGTCTGTCTGGGGAATAAACAAAACAGCTTCTATTCCCTCCCTCTCTTTGCTCTGAACACCACAGCCTTTCCGTTGCTCATCGAATCCTGTTCACCATGAAGCTTCTCGGGTTGTCGTTGGCCACGGGCCTCATCGCCCAGGGCGTGAGCGCTACACCTAAGCAGTCCAAGAATGAGCCTCTGTTCGCGATTCAGCCCAACATGATCCCGTTGGAGAAGAATGCTGGATCGTCTGACTTGTTCCCCATGCCTGATTGCAATGGCTTCAAGCTTGAGGAGGCTACTTTCACAGAGATGCAGGATGCTATGAAGGCTGGCAAGCTTACTTCTGTTCAGCTTGTGACTTGCTACCTCATGCGCACGTATCAGACTAAGGAGTACCTCAAGTAAGTTTACTGAAATGGCCAATTGCATGGTCAATTGATGCAATTGATACCCCGAACATAGCTAACATTGCGCAGCTCTGTTCTCCAGGTCAACCCCGATGCCTTCGCCATCGCAGCAGAGCGCGACGCGGAGCGCGCAAAGGGCAAATGCCGTGGTCCTCTGCACGGTATTCCCTTCACTGTCAAGGACAACATCGCCACCAAGGACAGCATGGAGACCACCGCCGGCAGCTGGGCGCTCCTCGGCAACGTCGTCCCCCGCGATGCGCACGTCGTCAAGAAGCTCCGCGACGCCGGCGCCGTCCTCTTCGGCAAGGCTGCTCTCAGCGAGTGGGCTGATATGCGCAGCAACGATTACTCTGAGGGTTACTCTGGACGAGGTGGTCAGGTTCGCAGCGCTTACAACTTGACTGTTAACCCTGGTGGTAGCTCTTCTGGTAGTGGTGTTGGTGTTGGTGCTAATGTGATTGCTTTTTCGCTCGGTACTGAGACCGATGGTAGTGGTGAGTTTTGTGTTACTGAAGCTGTATGCCGTGGATTGCGCTGATGGTGTCGCAGTTATTAACCCCGCCAACCGCAATGCCCTCGTTGGTATCAAGCCCACTGTTGGTCTTACTTCTCGCGCCGGTGTCATTCCTGAGAGCGAGCACCAGGACTCTGTTGGTTGCTTCGCCAAAAACGTCAAGGATGCTACTCTTGTTCTTGATGCCATCTACGGCGTTGACAAGCGTGACAACTACACCGAGGCCCAGAAGACCCCCAAGGGCGGTTATGCGAAGTACCTCACTGACAAGAAGGCCCTCAAGGGTGCTACCTTTGGTCTTCCCTGGAAGAGCTTCTGGGCCCTTGCCGATGAGGACATGCAGTCCCAGCTTCTCGAACTCGTTGACCTGATCAAGTCTGCTGGCGCCACCATCATCAATGGCACTGAGATCACCAACTACGAGACCATTGTCAGCCCTGATGGATGGAACTGGGATTACGGTACTACTCGAGGATTCCCCAATGAGTCTGAATATACCTACATCAAGGCCGATTTCTACCGCAACATTGAGACCTACCTCAGCGAGGTCAAGAACACCAATGTCCGCAACCTTGAGGACATCGTCAAGTAAGTGCCCTGGGTCTCAGTTGTCTGAGTATTACTAACAATTTCAGGTTCAACAAGCAGTACGACGGTGTTGAGGGCGGCTACCCGTACAAGGACGGCAAGGGTATTCCCGCTTTCGCCTCCGGCCAAGACGGTTTCCTCGCCTCTCTCAAGTCCAAGGGCGTCCGAGACGAGACATACTGGCAAGCCCTCGAGTTTTGCCAGACCTCTTGCCGCAAGGGTATCAACGACGCACTCACCTACAAGGGCAAGAAGCTCTCCGGTCTTCTCGTCCCTCCCCAGGTCGCACAGGCTCCTCAGATCGCCGCCCAGGCCGGTTACCCCGTCATCACCATCCCCGGCGGTTACGCCAAGGACTCTGGAATGCCCTTTGGTCTCGGAATCATGCAGACTGCGTGGGCTGAAGCTGAGCTTGTCAAGTGGGCTAGCGCAATTGAGGATCTTCAGCGATCTACCGATGCGCCCTCAAAGCGTCGTCTGCCCAAGTTCCTTGGATACCTTGAGCGCAACGTTCCTGTGCCCTTTTGAGGTGTGAGCCAATTGATGCGCGCTTTGGATCGTATATAATTGTAGATAGCAATACGTAACTTTTAATGATATTATGGCTGAAGCCTCAATCGATGCTGTACGGTCGCAATCGGACTTGTGTGACAGAGGACGACATTCCATGACGACACCAAGCTACTCTCAATGACGCGCTTGAGTAGAACGTGAGCACCTACGTACAGAACACGGGACTTCAATCCAGCAAAAAGAGAATATGAAGCAAAAACACTGAGCGACACAGCCAAAAGATGAGGTCCTACCCGGGTTCGAACCGGGGACTTCGGAAGAAATTTGAATGGTGATCAAAATCCAACGTCCTAACCACTAGACTATAGGACCTTTGGTAAGATGGCTGACCGTAAAAGAAACCTAACAGCCAAACAGCTTCACACTGAGACAGTATGCAAAAAGCGAGGTCCTACCCGGGTTCGAACCGGGGTCTTCGGAAGGCTTCTGAGGGTATCAAAATCCGACGTCATTACCACTAAACTATAGGACCAGACGATGCAATGGCGTCAGGATGTGGTGTCTATATACGCCACGCGTGCGTCTTCGCGACGCGAGATCAAGGGTCGCTGGTGTTATTTACTTAGTTTTATTACATTTCAACTAGAAGCATGTCATAGAGGTTATTGTAAATCAGATTTAGGTTTTGTATATCACATTCTTTCATCAAATGGTCAAATAGGGTTCAGTACGATGATTGTCAATTGCGCTCTCTGTCTACTAGCATCCGCCACGGTCCATCTGTTCAGCTGTACAAACTCCAGAAATGTCACTTACCGTTTCCTTTGTCCATCAAATGTCTCAAGCAATCCTTCTGAAAATATTTACCGGCCAAAAGCGAGTCTCTAGACGTCATCAACACCAACCTCCAACGACTTACTCTTGATAAGGCTCCTCCTGATCATAAGGCCGCATCTGATACCAGCCGTTCGCCTTGATCTGATCCTTCACAGCCGGAGGCAGACGTTCGACTGGCTCGCGACGGAGAAAGCCTTCATCTTGAAGACGGGTGACCAAGTTCTCAGGCATGGGAAGATGGACCCGGACGGTAAGCTGCATGATGTCACCAAAGACAGTGAAGGCATTGCGGCCATAGATGAGGTTGAGGCCATCGCGGAGACGATCTAGACCGTAGATCATAGTTGGGTTGATCCTGTGCTCGTAGGTTTCGCGGCCTCGAGGGATGTTTTTACGCTCAAGGCTGTCGCTCCGTTTACAACATTCACGACAGTCTTCGTCGCGGCCGCGGTCGGGGCTACGGCTGCGGCTGCGACTGCGGTTGCGGTTGCGGTTGAACATCCCAAAGACCATGATTGCGGATGAAGTAGCAAAGATGATAAATGCTGGTCGTGAGTATGTACTGATGGTGATAAGTTGCGTGATGACAGTTGATGGAAATCTCGATGTGAGAGTTGGTAAGGGGGAAAGAGATGCTTGAGGGGGACGGGACGAAGAGGTGCAATATATACGATGGATAAACAATGGAAATTGAATCTTTTTATGTGAATGTTCTTCAGATTCACTGTTGTATTGACACTGGTACCGCCCTTGGAATTCAATCAGAGACTCTGTTATAGGTACTGCCGCAGAACACGAGGTATTCTTGATCATACAAACAACAATCTGACGTTCATGACATCCAATGCCGTGACTCAAGCTAGCAATTAACTAGAGACTAATCCCATTGCCAGCATTCAAGCCAGCTTTCCCTTGTTCACACCGCCAACTCCAACCCCAGCCAAGAACAAAGCCCTCACAACAGCAACCCAACCGGTGAACAGATAGTTCCCCCAATCTTGCCATCTGAACATAGACAGATCCGACCGGCCTTGCTGTTTCATACTGACAAAGACACTGATCAAGATGGCAATGTCGATGAGAAGCACGCCGCCAATGACGACTCTCCATACTTTGATATCAGAGCTAACTCTCAGAAGCACAGCCAGCATAATGGCGACGAACGCGAACAGTGCAGCGAGTTGGTGGAATAAGAAGGCTTGGTCTGGATTGTATGCAGACATGCTTAGTGGAATGAGGCCATCGAGGATGAATTCGGGGGTGAAGATGAGAGCGTAGACGGTTGGGAGGACGGTCAGTGGGTCGATCCAGGTGAACCAGATGCGGTAGAAACTATGGACTTTGAGTTCAGACATGGTGGATATTTCGGAAGTTTTTTTTATTTCTGCGGCATGAGATACAAGAATGGGTTTGAATGAGGGTTTATAAGAAGTGAATCGTAACCTGTGGGTAGCGTCAGCATCGAAGCGAGACCAGATTGCGCTTCACGTCTTATGTCAGCTGACCATCAGAATTCGGAGCATTCCCGTATAAGGCAAGTTTCCTACTAAAGATGTGATGATGGCTAAGGGAAGTCTTTCTGATCCCAGTTCTTCCTATGCCGTGAAATTCATTCGCTTAAAGGATATGGGTGATGCTAGTGTCCAAGTTATCAGGGTTGAACCACCACTCAAGTACTCCAGCCCAGGGCATCTCCATCCAAGTAAACTCTCCTTCGGCTTCTGGAGGCTTGATATCAACGGCAGCTACATGTGGAGGTATCTGCACAATCTTGCCTGGCCGTGTCCCGACAAAAAGTCCCCTTGAGCCATCTCTTGCAAGCGGCGTCTCGGCCCAGTCAAATCGAAAGCACCCAACGCTAGCCTCACTACCGTCGGCGTACCTAAACAATAGTCCAGCGACCTTCTTATAAGGAGCTTCGACTAAACGGCTGTTTTCCAAGTCAAAGTGTCGAATTACGCCCGTGTCTCTCTCATTCTTGCTCTTGCAGACTAGGACTTCTGTGATGTTTTCTAAGGACGCGGATGAGTAGTGTAGCGTATGGAGCGGGTTGAAACGTGGCATAGTACCAAGCGGTGTTTGACTCGGTGGAGGGGCTGTGGTATGGTTGTCTGACAATCTTGTTGCAGCTATCAGAGGAATTCCACGGTCTGAGGGAGAGAAGAAAACTCGAAGTGGAGCGTTCACGGATGTTTTCGCTACCAAGTCCCAGTGACGATGTTTCCAATATGATGAGTATTGTTCATGGTGGTCTGGGAAACTTCCGGCAACAATCTTTCGGCCTTTGCTCGTAACAAGCTGAGTTATCGTCAGTTGAGTGGCTCATTGATTTTTGAGAGGGATGGGAAACCTTACCGCAAGAGCTATGTCACTGGGCCTCTTGTATTTGTTCAACCCCCATGGAGTCGACATTTGATATTTCACACCGCCGTCACCTTGAGATGGGAGGGGCCGAGTCGTATCATATTTCTCGGACCCTCGTAGCCAGATCTCTTGAATGAACTCATCCTCCTGGATAGGATAGTAAGTCCACTTGAGGAGACTTCGATCATCAAACTCAGAGTGGTCATCTATAGTGTACGGTCGGATTCTCGATGTTCCATGTTCCGTGTTGCGATGAACATGAATTGAGACCATCTCATCCTTGGCCCAACATACGGAATATCCAGCTGTACTGGGTTCATTGAAAGTCAGTGTTCTTAACCTGGCCTCAAGAGCCCCTTCGCCCCAACCAGCATAGTAGAATGTCATCGACTCGAGTTCAGACGGCGTTACTGGACGAGGCCAGAAAACTCGAGGGTAGTTCGAAGGAGTCAATAGCTTTCGAAGCTTAAGGCCCTGGGCATACTAATTCAGCTTCTGGTATACATAATGGTCCCATAAACTTACATCACCAAGGAAAGTTATCGTCTGGCTGTTTGCAGGTACTGTTTCCCAATAGGCCGGATATAATGCATCTAAGCTGGATTCTTTCGGGTCTGAAGTGATTCGCCTGATGCCGAGGTGGTCGCTTGCAATGTATAGGTTCCTGAAACCTGAACGAAATATCACTTTCATAGTCTGACGGTTCGCCATTGAGGAATAATTTGTCAATGAACCCACGTACCCCGCACCATCCATTCTGGCGACTGTGATCAACACTGGGAGTGACAGATCAACAGACCATTCAGTCTTGTGACGCTTCGGAGAAAGCTCTGCTATGGTGTAAAGTCTGATCAACTCTTCGTCTGCAGACACGATATGCCAAAGCTCTGGCGGCAGCTTGCCATATGTTTTACGCAGGGCACTCTCTATCAATTCCCGAACACGGCGCCTCCGTCTTTCATGGCATAACGAGGCATGACGGTAAGAGTACTCGGTGACAAGGGGGTACCGAGGGAGAGGAATTCCAAAAGGAGCGGCCATCTCAACGCATTTAGCGTGGAAGGCGATGGCGCGACCTTTGTAATGGGTGCAATTTGAACAGTGAGGGGAGGTGGTATGGAGAGATCTTTTGATGAAAAGAGGCATATGGGCTTTCTGGAGATAGATATTGAATGGGGATGAGACTTTATCATCCGGAGTCGCTGCAGTTGGTCAGCTAAGCCCGAGAGACACAACTCGACGCCGCGGACTTACAAGCAGCAATCTCCTCTTTCTCCCTGCTGATAGGGAAACGGCAGAGTCGGCAGAGGCTCGCATCGAGACATACTGGGGTTTCAAGTTGATTTTTGTCGGACATGTTTGATGAAGGAACAAAACAGTCCCGTGATCCAATTTCTAGTCCTAAAACAAGAACTATGGAGTTTTAGACTGATCGTTATAAATCCGTGGTTGAGGGGGGAGAGTTTGGAGGACTCCGAGGAGGTAAGACATTTTGAGTGCTGAAGTGAGGAGAACCAAGACATAAGCTGAAGTGGTGACGTAGAACAACCAGCCACAGGACGAGAAACCTGACAGCGAATCGGTACCTCCCTTCTGGCAGTTGACTTCAACCCGCCGCTTCATTTTCCTTTGAAAAAGAACTTTATTGTATTTTTATGGCGGTCTATTACTGTTTATGTGGGCGATTGCTACACATAGAAGGCTGCTTAGACAAGTGATGAGGAATCGATACTTCTTTTCACAATGTCAGCTTCTCCCCAAAAGGATTCTACCATGGTATACTGGTTGTGATATGGCAAAAAGGAGTTGGTCTCGCAGTTCACGATTTTTGAAAACAATGTGAGATATTCTGAAGCTATATTGGTAGTTTGTGCTTTACATTCTGTTTAGACGCTCAACCTCTGCATCAGTATCCAACTCTGGATAGTCTAAAGATGACTTGGGGCGTTCCAGTCGCGGCGCCCTCCACCGTCTTGGGGGAAGCTTCCTTTCCCAAATGTCTCTGTAGACTTTCTTAACTGTAATAGCATCTCCTGGGTCTATCCGGACCCTGTTATCGGAGGTTGGTAAGATAGGGAGTGGGCACTTGGTATAGGAATCCTCAGGGTCTGCAAGAAGGAAGGATATAAGGGCCGACTGTTGAGTATCGAGGAGTTGACACACACGGAATGTGACTCTTGCGCGAGTACACTGAAAGTACACGTTGGGCTCATCGCCACCTGTCCATGCCTGTGAATGGTCAAAGAGTGCTACACCGCCTAGGATTCGATTCTCTGCCCAATATCCAACCATGTCATCGACACCGTTTGGGTACCGGTCATGAGCAGTGAACTGAGTCGCGATAAACATTGTCGGCTTCGGTGGAAAGCGACACAAATCATCGGGAGGTCGCTCCCACTTGATGGTAGACTCAATATCATGACCGGCAGTTGTAGCAGGGTCGTGGACTTTCTCTAGCTGTGACAGTCGTGCACCGGTTTGATGTAGAGCGCACGCAGTGATCTCAATCAGTCGTAGCTGAAAGGAACGAGAGGAAGGATATGCCTTCTGATACGCATTCAATTTCTTAAAGATATTAGCAAATAGAACCAGTGATTGAGAGTTACTGGGGAGTATACCTCCAAATCAACCATTACATCAGCCATGGAGAATTTTGAACGGAAAGCTTTGGCCCTCTCTAATGCTCCTTCGCAGAGCGTTTTGTGATTGACGATAGGATGAGAAGGTTCATATGTGGCCGAATATCGGTCCCAGACAACATCAGCGGTCGGCAGACCATCGATAATCTGGGCGAAGGTCACAAGCGCGATATCAGTGTTAAGAACATTGCGGAGGGCTACAGCCAAGGAATGGTAATGATGCCCCTCAATTCGATCGAGGCTAGCATAGTCTGGAGATGGCATTTTGGTCCCTGAGAAAACAAAAGCTGTCTATTTTGTCGCAAACGAGCATAGATGGGCGCCGAAGAGGGATGGAGGAGGAGAGTTCCACTGAGTCAGACAATGCCTAAAGCGCGCGGCTGCCTGGGGCTGAGTGCCCAAGGGTCTCTTTTGGTCCGACCAACAGAAACTGACTATCGTGCCAACGGGTTTAATATCTCGATCAAGGCACACCAGGGGCTGAATTGCAATATTTGTTATGATTTGACTTCATGCATCGACGGGAAACAGGAGAGGATCCCTGACAAGCCGCTCCATATCTTCTGTCCTGATGTGGATAGAAACATCAACCCCATTATCCGTCCAGTACTTCCCCAGAGGACCCGATGCTTCTTTGATCAACACGTTTCCATCCATTTCCGGAACTACACCCTCAGCATAACGACACGTGGATCCAAACCCAAAGTCAACATCATATATCCCTGCTCGTGCCCATGTCGTCACCAAGATATGCCGCCTCCCCAAGAATGCTTGCCATATTCGTTGAGGGGACTTTTCAAAAGCTAGACTGTGCAAATGAGCAGCCATGTTGGAGGGGTCGGAGATCGTCTTGAGTGTGTTGCGGATTTGAGTTGCTATCTGAGTTATGCCGGATGAGTTGGCAACTTGGCAGGCAGGGAGTTCGATGTTCATCATCATGACTGGAGATCCGAGGAAGTCTTCTTTAAGGTGAAAGGACGAGCGAACGCCGTAAACAAGATCGCAGTGGATTGGATCTGTGTCGTTTTCGAGGCCGCGAGCGCGAGAGATACAGGACCAAATGTGAGATAGTATTGCATCGTGTTGACTTAGTTTCTGTGATGACTTCTCGTTCGCCCTTCTCCAGAGACATTCTACCTGTTTCTGACTCAAGTGAACAACGTAATTTGAAACCGGCTCGACCACATTCCACTCGGTCCATGGCATTGGTTTGCCGGCGGAGTCAAGGTCCTGTTGGTCAAAAGGCGAAGGTATCTTAAACGGCCAAGGAGGTGTTGAATCTGGATGCCACCAGTCGAATCTATGCATTGGTAAAGTTCTTGCTCGTTGTATGATAACCTGGTCTGGTTCATCGGCATTGATGTCTCCAGCTGCTTGATTGTCGATAAGAGTAGGGCTGAACACAGGTTTTGAAGCAGGAATTGTATTCCCTAAACCTTGGCGACTTTCGTTCGCCCAGTGTTTGATAAAAGCGAGAAGAGTTGTGGCGTCTGCGAGAGGATGCGCTCCATTGAGGGCAAGGGCAAAGCCACCGCAAGACAATTCGGTGATTTGAACGGCGAGAAGAGGCAAAGATTGTCCATTCTCGTTCTTCAATAAATTCTTAAGTGGCTGAGCAATGGTGACCGGGGCCATGAACTTCTGAAAGACGCTAGAGTCGCACTTCCAGAAACCTTGACTGCGTATTCTATCTGCGGGATATAAAGACTCAAGCGTGGCATCGCATTTGGCATGAACAAACTCCACGCCAGGATCATTGTCAGTTCCATAATGCGCGTAGAGACGTCCGAACCGTCGAGCATGAGGCGGAAACAACTTTGCTTCTGGCGGAACGGTGCCATCCGTTGATTTTACAGCCTTCAGATGGCCGCCCCATTGCGGATAGAACCGAAGAGTCCGTGCCAGGGATTCACGTAAATGGTAGGCCAAGTTGAAATCATCGCGGGCAGGCTTTTCAAAGAGCCATATGGCACTGGCGTCGGAGAAGTTGGCGGTTGTGCTGTCGAGGAGAGATAGAGGAATGGCTTGTTCTTGAGAGGTAGTAATGCTGAGGCGGTGAGACCCGACCACTGATATGTTGTTGGCAGCCATGATTGACATCAGAAGGTATCATAAACTGGACTGAGCACTTGTATTCGTGAAGCCAGAAAAGCAATGGCCATTTATAATATTTTTCAGATTGGTGGTCCACTTTATCAGATCTGGAGTGTTCCGTATTGGGATTATGAGGGATGAATCATTTCGGCGAGCCTAATTGAGCCACCGGGTCTCATTGAGCTACTCCAAAAGCTCTGAATAAAATGCAATAGATTGAACCAAGATAAAATATGTCGTGATCTCTAGTCGATATCGTGTGCCACGATTAGTGTCAATTCCCAGCCTCATCTTGACAGCCAGGAAAGAAGATTCCGGATCGAATGAACAGTTGCAATATCATGCTCACTAAACACTCCACTCAATGTCGCATCTGGATGTTCCTCTATCTTGCAAACCTTGCCTTCCGGCTTCTCATCTGACGACGACCTCCAATGCTTCAAATCGGCGATGTTGTCGCATTCATCTTTCGGGTCGAGTAACACTGGGCTCCAGCCTGCATTCGCTGACCCAAGTACATCTTTGGAATAATCATCACCAACATACACCTTTCGCCAACTATTGGTCTCTCTTTCAGATTCGCTCAAGCTTTTTCCGCTGCGAGCGCTGATGACTTGCGCGAGCATGTGTTCTGCAGCGCTGAAGATGCGCTTGTCTGGTTTCTCGACACCAACGTCGTAAGACATACAATGAAAGTCGATGTCGTAGGTCTTGTCTTTTAGCTTGCTGAGGTCAGAATCGGTGCCGTATCTCAGTGGGCTCACGGCGAGACCCAGGGATGAGAGAATGCTGGGAATGCGATCGTCTGAGTTTGTAATAACGCCAACGACAAGACTATCGAAATTCCGAGGCGGATTTTGCTTCAAGTTCTTGAAAGCTTCAACAAGACCTGATTCGGTCTCATAACCCTCCTTTGAGGCGAAGCGATGCAGCAACTTCGGCGCTAAATCTTGTGGTAAGGGCTTGTCATCCTTCGCCAAAGACGTGAAGGTATTATGAATAACCTGAGTGATGTTAGCGTTGTTTGCTCTGATGCAGCTCCCGCATACGAACGTTGGTCCACCAATTCGTCGCTCCTAAGCCCGTCTCTTTTCCATAATTAGGATTCTTTTTGGACTCATGTTTGAAGGATGACTTGAAGGCGGCTTGTAGCTCATTGTCGTTGAAGTTGGTGAAACCGCATTGGCGAGCAACATCAGCGTATTGCTGCGCAACTGGACGAACAGGTCTGATCAGAGTTCCGAATGCATCGAAGCAGAGGAGAAGGTTTCGTTTTGACATGATTGGCTGGACCGCAAGGTTTATTACTGGCGGGAGAGGATGAAGTTACAGGTTCAAGAATGGCATTGTTTTTAACTCCACCAGATGATTACGTCATCTCGCGACGTCGTTCAAGATGGGAGCTGGATAAAACACGACATTCGATCTGGAAATTATGGAAATGCCAATATCGTACGCGTCGATAGTGAGCGTACAGCAGCTGAGAATTCATAGATGTCAAAGGCTTTATTTTTCATTAGAAAAAAAGGTGTTATGTCATAGCTGCCACCAGTGGAGCACTTCACAATTGCAAGTTGGGAACTATTATGCCTGAATCTCGTGTATCTATTCAGGGGGGACTCTGAGTTTAAGATCTAGCCGTCTATCCGTGTACTTATCCAGCTGTCAAGAAGTTCCGAACCTAAAAGCCCAAACAACTACCCATGTCCAAGTACAAATTCCTAAACTCCTCGTGCCGTGCTTGCGCATTTGTCTTGTGACTTCTTTTTGTCTAACCTAGACTCCGACCGGGAAACACATCTGATAACAAAGGGAAAATTGGGGATTGTTGGTTGTCCATGCTGCTTACATGCGAGGCTGGATCAAATACTGATGCATCCCAGAGTTGGGAGCCTTGCCAAGGGTCTTGATACCCAGGCCCTGAGCCTTAGCGATCGCATGGATCTCATCCTCTCCACGCTTCCAAGAGGGAAACATAGTGTAGACAGTTCCCTTCTTGATGAAGAAGTCGTTGTAGCGGTGGCAAACCATGTCGTGCTGGGCGACTACTTCGAAGTAGTGCATGGACTTGTCAAGCTTCGACTCATAGGTCCAGGCGATGCGAGGGTTGGAGAAGATATCAGCGTGGGTCTGAATACCCTGGAGGTATGAGATGAAAAACGCATCGTAAGCCTTGGTCTGGTAGGCAGCATGGGTGGACGAGGCCTCGGTACCGGAGGGTCCATCTTGCCCGACGATCAACTTCGAGTAGGGAGATCCAGAGAGATGCTTGGAGAACTCATTGCATCGGTCAACACACATCTGGTCCGGTGCGTTGAAGAAGATAGAACCGAGAGACAAGAAGATACGAGGGTTGGGAAGAGTAGCGAAGTACTTGTCACCCTGGATAAAGTTACCCCACAAGCCAATGCAGGTGATTTGAGGGAAGTCAGCAGCCGACTTGTTGACATGCTGGGTCAGAGACTCCTTGCAGAGGTCGAGGGCGATGTAGATGCAAGGCTTTCCCTGCTGAATGAAAGCCTCGACATAAGGAACGAACTTTCGGGAGTTAGCAGCTCCAAGGTCGATGATGACAGCCCCGGTAGCTGGCATATCGCTAACGACATCCGAAGCAGTAGCCTTGATGATGTTGAGTTCATCCGTAGTCTGATAAGAGTTGTCGGCAATCTCGCACCAATGGTGCATGCCGGTAGTGTATACAACCTCCTTTGGGAAGTAGCCCTCTCCCTTGAAGGCGCTGGGCAGCTGCGAATCGAAAGTAGTGGCGAGGGTAGATCCGCCGATGTCGATGATTGTCTTGTTGGCCGGAGCCCAAGACTTGGTGTACAGGGGAGACATAACCTTGATTTCGGAGGGGATGAAAGTTTTGTTCAGTGTTTTGAGACAAAAGGTCTTCTTTAGAGAGAAGATGAAAGGTTATTCTGATCAAGAATAGTGTTGATAGAAGATTGGGTGAAGGATGGGATGGTTGATCGTTGTGGTGAGGAAAGGATGAAGTCTAAGTTACTGGAGAAGAGATGGGAATTTATACGGTAGAATTTCAAGAAGATTTAGAAGCTGTTCTGCAGCTTTCCCTCTGTTCTGCCAGTGCCAGACATTTCGGCCGCATTGCCAGTGGTTACCGTGGTGTTCGAGCCGTTTGTTCAAAAACAGTGGAGGTGAAGCCTCTGACACTTGCAGCTGGGTCGCGCAGTACACTTGGCACTGCAACCTGTTTGGCAGTGCCGCAGCAGCTTATGTTGTTACATGAAATATCCATGAGGAGAAGTTCTTTGGAAGTGTCTGGGAGTTTTGAAAGAGAGACATTCAAGAGATGGACATTGCTTGTGAACAAGTCAACTCTTTGTGATATCAGAAAGAACACATCAACAGTATTAGAATTGGGCACATTGCGAATCAAGGTCTGTTAATTTAGCTGCACAACTCAGTAGCAAATATCTAAAGTTGAATGCTGTTGTCCCCCAAGCCCCTGAACTAATTCCCGTCACCACACTGGATGTAACTCGTAGATCGCTTATCCTACCAGGTCTCTATAAACACATTTCCTCGTAGAGACACGAAAAAGGGACTACTAGACTTTTAGGAAAATCATTTCACTTCATGGAAGCTTCGGATATCACAGCAAGCTATCTAGCTGCCCAGGAGGGCCGGCCAAAGTCCCAACTTAAGGAAACCCATCCAGGGAGCAAGAAAAGACCAAAATGTAATATAGGATATTAAAAGAAACTTGGAAAACGGTATTCTAAAGTTATCCTAAACGTATACTAATTTACGTAAGTAATTTTATCATTTAGAATCAAGGTCCTGAGTTTTGTTTCTTCCCCAAGAGAAACAGCCATTGAGGGTGTTACAATGTTATAAAGACTCTACGTATCAGATGAAAACGGAAAATATTCAACACTATTCACGATTGTCCTCGGTTGATCAGCAGTGGTACTCAAGGAAGAGGTCATTGGCTCGGCAGACGTAGATCATTGTCCGCGCAAATGGTTCGATCATAGGCTTGCCAGGTTTGACAGATCTGACAGGCTTGTGTAAATACGACAGGCTTCGGAAACACTGGATGAAAAGAAAGTGCTGGCGAATTGGCTAATGCACCACTTCTGGTGTTCTTGGCAAGATGTCTTGACCAGGCCAAATCTTCAGTGTTCGTTGCAGGGTAGATGCGCCCAAAACGCTGTCTTGGTATAACGGCAAATTGTCAAAGTCAAAATACGAATAATATGCGAGATCTAGGGGTCCTGAGTTGCACGGTCGCATCGATTGTGGCGATCATCCGATCAACGTTAACATTGGGCGGCCTCTGGACAAAACTGGTTTTGAAAGACGATGACTTCGTTGAGAGGCTGCGATATAACCTTAACAGAGGCTCGCCCAAAACTGGATCGTAACTGTTAAAATCTTACTCCCAACTCTGCCGCCACTTGCGAAATACTCGTCACCAGAATGATGGATGTGTGGCTGGATTCACCATCAGGAAGCTCACGCCACAGGGTCTCGCAGCAAGATCAATGTGCTATTAAGTCATGGAGTAGTCATTGCGCGTTAGTGGCAGCTCCCAAGAGGTGATCAGCGGTGGCTGAGGGGTTCCAAGTTGCGACCAGGTTAAATGACCTCATCACCCTTCGTCATATTGCAACGTCCATCCTATAAGCCCGATTGACATTTGAACCGTTATCTCGCCGTTTCATCAATCCAATTCTGTCAAACCATCAGTAATTGTTCACACACAGTTGTTCATCTTTACAATGTCGATACAGGATGATCACCCCTTTGGCAAGGACAAAGAGAAGCGTTCAAAATGGAAGATCTTTAGTTCCTCGAAAGACAAGGACAGGGAGAAGGACAAAGACAAGCGCAAAAGTCAAGAACTTCAGATCCCGGAAACAGCAGAGACTTCAGGCGATTCGACATATGGAAGCAGTGAACCAAACAATTCATTGACGACAGAGGGCGATCTGAGTAAAACGAAGAGTAACAGTGGATTGAGTCCAGGGAAGACACCAGACAATGCGACACCTACCCCAAACCTCAACCCAAATTCGGGACCAGACTCTTACACCAGCCCGACCATCAAAAGAGAGACAGTGACCAATCCAAATACCGGACAGACAATTACAACTACAACGACGACTACAACTACTACCACGACCGTGACAAACTCCAACGGCACAACCCAAACAATTGAGGAACCTCATCCAGTCATGGAGTTACCAACCGTCAGCAACCAAGACGTCACACCATCCCCGCATCCACCGCCTGTAGCACAGCCAGAGCCCGTACAACACATAACGCCCACGCCCGTTGAACCATCCCCAATTACCCCAACAGCACGTCGCAAGAGCCTAGAGACTCCAGGCCGACGCCTTATTCCACCCCGCGATCCGATTCCCTCTCAGATTTCCAGCTCCGATAACAATTCACCCGCAATTCCAGAGCGAAACGTCAGACGCTCGGCCGAGTTCGTTCCAGCGCCTTTACAAGTTGGCCAGGGCGCTTTCCCGCCCCCGCCTGCGCCTGGAGATAAACCTTCTGCTGTGAATTATTCCCGACCTGCTAATAAATCGACAATTGCGAATTTGAAATCCGCCGCCGCTGGTATCCATGTAGGTGCCCTTCAATTGAGTTCTACCTATTGATACTGACGAATTTACAGGGCGCCGGCGAAACTCTTCGTGGAACACTTAACTCCAGCGTTGACAAACACTTCGGTGGCACCCCCCAGGCAATTGAGAAGAACCAAGCAGCCATCGACGCAGGCCGCTACGAGATCAACAACCGCACATTCTACCATCCAAACGAATACCGTCTAACACGACCAGAAGGCTCCGGCTCTTCCCCCGAAAGACCGCCTGTTCCTGATGCTCAATACGACGATCCGCCGTTCAACATGGGAAACACAACAGGAAGTCCTGCGGTGAGGGATAAAGAGAGGGAGAAGAGACATAGTAGATTGGGAAGTTTGTTTGGTAAGAGTGGAGGACGGTCGGCGTCGCAACCTGGTGCTGATACGACGCCGAGGGCGGAGAGGGGGAAGTTGAGAAAGAGGAGCAGTTCGGGACCGGGGACGCCGAAGTTGAGTGTCGTGGGGGAGTAATAACACGCCACAGGAGTTGTATCGTATATCTAGTCTAATGCCACATTACGTACTCACCACGTTGAAATTGATAGTCGACCTCTGTGATGCTCACGACTTGATAGTTAGGTGCATCCATTCGTATTGAAGCATCCTCACATCGAGACACGAAAGTTGTAACGCCAAAGTTCATTATTGGTATCTGAAAATAAAAGAGATCGAAACGGTGAATGTCCGACTAGTTTGAAACATAATGAGCGACATATTCGACTTCCATATGGCTTCCAATTCCATCCTTGGTGCTAGAGTTAGGAACGCCAGGCTGTAATCTTGTTAGTCAACGTCTCATTTCTTCGGATTTTTCAACTTACCCAATCTCCACCAACGGCAACGTTGAAGATGACAAACATAGGACTATGGCAAAGAGTCTTCCAAACCGTTGCATTGCCAATCTGAGCGCCCGTAACACGATGAAAGACCGTTCCATCGCGATACCAGGTAATAGACTGAGATCTCAGATTGCTGCTTCGTCGATCAAACTGGACCCGCCAGACGTGATACTTGCTATCAGGAAGCTGAACATTCGACGCTATACCATTAGGCTCATTGCAGATTCCGCCCGGTGCTTTGTCACAGTGAACAGCACCGTACCCAATCTTCTGCCCGTTGACATTTTCCATGATATCAACCTCTCCGCAAGCAGGCCACTCAACACCATTCCGGATCGCATCACCAAGGAGCCAAAAAGCCGGCCAGATTCCCTGCTTACTCCTCGCCGAGTTACCCCCCAGCCGCAGACTCGCCTCAACTCTAGTGATTTTTCCAAGCTTGGGCGTGAGGGTATACGTGCTCTCAATTCGAGCAGAAGTCCATTTCTTCGTCTTGCTTGAGAACCGGGGAATCAGCTGCAGTGTATTCTTGCCAGTTTGTCGAAGAACACTTGTGCTCTTGACGTAGGCTTCGACTTCGTTGTTGTAGTTCTTTACGCGCTCGATGATGTTCCATGTGCTTGTACTGGGGAATGTGTTGGCTTGGCCTTCGAAGCCTTGCTGCCAGACGCGCGTGTAGCCGCTGTAGGTGGGTGGTGTGACTGCCGCTGCGATGGCGAACAGACATGTGAAGACGGTGAGGATCCAAGGAGAGAACATGGTGAAAAAGATTTAACGATAAGGGGGAAATATAAGGAAAGGAATGCTGCGGTGTTGCCGCGTAAAGGGGAAAGGGAAGATAGTGCAAAGTGCACTTTAAGGAGAGTCGTCACGAAGATGACGAGAGTGAAATACCGTCAACACCATCTTTTTTTCAGGGACATCCGCTTGAATATATAGATTCTCCATCTCCTTTGAGCTTACGAATGCCATACCGGTCTAGAATTGCTAGACGCCGTTCTGATAACAATAGCTTGGTGTCTGGAACATGTCTACGGCTGGTTTCAATCCTTAGATCCAACGTGGGCTAACCCGGAACAGTGAGGCTAAGCCAAACGCAGCGCATTTCTCGACGCCACCATCTTCAATAGTCTCGTTTCTTTGATTGAAATATTGGAATTTTATGGAATCGTGGCTTGATGGCCCTGGGCTATTGTGGGATTAAGCTTTCGTCCCTGATTCCAGGGCAAAAAAAGGTTAATGGATCTGGGTAAGCGCCGCTGCGCATGCAAGGAACGCGCCACTCTATTGGGTTCATGGGAATGATTGAGGAATTGGATGGGAGTCTGGGCTTTTGAGAGAGGGTTGAGAATGAAGGGATGGGGCTTTGGGGTGTCGCGCAACTTTGAGGTAACCTTGGTTGTATTAGAAGAACCCTGAACTTGGGATACTCTAAACTATACATCTTGTAAAGCCATCAAATGAATGTTTTGCTGCGTTTCTCCTTCTTGACAGTAGTCGCCGCCTCGAACATGCACATAGCATGACATGCCGCCATCACATCCGGTCAGGTGGCGTTCAGTCTCGATAGATCCGTCAAAACAGCAGTGCGGACAAGAGTGAAGAAGCCCTTCATGTGTACAAGGAAACCAAAGACGGCAGCCACAGGGATCAGTAAGGGGATTATACCCACGAGCAAAATCGGAGTCGTAGACATCCGCATAACAAGAATCCCGAGCAACGCCCAAAAGCCAGGACCGATCATTTCAATTTCTGAAAATTTCTGCAGTGGGACATGTTCCACGTACGGGCCAACCTCGTAACTCATCACCACAAAGCACAAGGCGAAACTTGTGAAGAGGAGCATCATGTCCAAGCCGAGAATTGCCGTGGTATAAGGGTGGCGTACTGCACCAGTTCTGTAGATGACGTAGAAAGATGCCACGTTGGTGAGGAGAGAGAGGACGAGGAAAGCGACCAACATGTGGTCGAGACTTTCTGCTGTGTTGTAGTCGACAATATGTACTCTGATGCGATTTTTGCAAACCTCTTCCAAAGTCTCATTCCATTTCCAGGGTTCGCAGTGCTTGAAATTGTCGATGTCTTGGATTACAGCTTCAGTAAGGTTGAGCGCTCCGGGGAAATGGCCTGTGCAGGTCTTTTTCGCCGTCCCATTGATTCTGCATAGACCTTGGAACTTGAATTAGCGACTGAGTGATGTAGACAACAAACAAAACTCAACCGAGCTAGTGATGCGTGGAGTGGTCGCTTACCAGAAATCCCAAGCTGGTACACGTCCGGTATGATATCTTTCATCGCGACCGCGCATTCTTCTTTCTAAACAAGGTCGATGGTTTCGCGTTTCCAGTTAACGAGGCTGTATTGCGGGGCTGTTGGCGAGTCGCCTGCTGATAGGAAGCATATCTCGAAGGCGAAAATGACTAGCCCACGATGGTAAGTAGAGAATGCGATGGGGGAGATGGGAGAAATGCGCTCACCTATATTCATAGTCATGACTATATAACGACCTGCCATAGTAACGAATGTAAATATTGAATTGTGGATAAAAATGCGACTCCGTCAGTGTTGCGTTGATGTAGAAAGGAAATTGCTGCTTTGGTGGAAGTTAATGGTGGATGACTCGGAGTCTCAAGGGTAAGGAACGAGAAAGTCTCTTGCCGGCGAACCACCTGCACCGTTCCGTATTACCAGTACACGTGTTGCTAGCTGCGATCTAGGTAATCATGAGGCTCTTCCGAGTGGTCAGCATGGGAGCTAGGTGGCTAGGGGAGAAAGAAAACTCGGGAACTAATCCTAAATGACGAAAAGATTTAGGTAACTTATGATAAGTTTAGCATAGGCTTAGGATGGGCCTAAGATAAGCTTAGGATAAGTGTAGGATATCTTGCCCCTGACGCCTGGTGAGGTGTCAGACAGTCTAGACGTGATTACCCCGGTCTTGCAACTGCCGATGCTGACGGGAGGGTAAGCTTACGAGAGAAGCTTAACTCAAATCTGCCGACCTGCATACGGCACGTATGAAGTGATAGAGTTTCTTCGTTGCGAGTGGCTTCAAACAATCGTATACATCAAGCTATCATTCTATTCTAATTCGCTAATTCATATTTTCGCTAGTCATAAATCCAATTCTCCATAAGGTTGAGCTACCTGCGACAGAGCAGGCCACTTGTACAGCTTATGCTCTGTATCTTGAGCAGCCTGCTGGAAGTACTGCATAACGTCATTCCACAGACTATCAGCATTCTCCTGCTTGCTCAAATCAATAGGCTCCAAGTTGTTGGCGATCTGTGAAATTTGGATTCCAGCCGCAGCGAGTCTCTTGAGGACATCATCGTGGTCGAATCTTTGCTCCATTGTTCCCGGGATGGAAACCTTCTTGAGTGTCTCGACGAATCGGGGCTCTTGGGCACTTGCGCGGCCGATACCAACACCGTCGATGACCTGAAGAGAATCGACCATCGCTTTAATGCTCTTGAAACCTCCGGTGGAAAAGATCTTGATATCGCGCTTCAAAACCTTGACGATCTCTTCGGCTTGAACAAGGAAGTAGTTCTCTCGCTTCTTGTTCTCTTCCCGCTCGTGAGCAAAGGCAAATTTCTCGTAGTTTCCTCCCGAAAGCTCAATGAAATCAACCTCGGCCTTCTCGAGAGCGACAGCAAAGGCCTTGACGTCTTCGATATCAATACCGCCAGGTGTGTACTCGACGGAGTTGGCCTTGATACCAACGATGAAGTTGGGGCTCACACGACGCTTGATCTCAGCAAAGACCTCAAGAACAATGCGCATTCGGTTCTCGCGGCTACCGCCGTACTCGTCGGTTCGCTTGTTGGTGCGAGGGGAAAGGAATTGAGCCAAGAGGTAACCGTGGGCGCCGTGGAGCTCAATGCCGTCGAAACCAGCCTTGTCAAGGAATTCAGCGGCGTGAGCGAAACCGTTGATGATGTTGGCGATATCCTCCTTGGTAGCAGGGCGAGGAGCAGCGAATGTCCTTCCAGACAAACCAGAGCTGACGAGCTGGACGTCTGAGGCACTAATGGGGTGGGGGTTAACCCAGTCCTCGACTTGACGACCAGCATGAGAGACCTGAGCGACCAAGAGACTGCCGTTCTTCTTGGCCTCGGTGGCCATCTCCTTGAAGCCGTCAAAGCGACGACCCTCGAAGGGTTCATCAGCGGGGATGACGAGGTTGCCGGGGGCTTCGAGGTTGATGCCGTCAATGATAACGTTGCTGGTTAGGATGGTGCCCCAGCCACCAGCACCCCAGTTTCTGTAGAGGGTGATGAGTTCTGGTGTGGGATATCCTCGGGCAGAGACGTCTTTGGGGTCCCATGTAGCGAGCTTCTCAGACATGGCTGCCTTGAGGAAGCGGTTGGGCGCTTGTCGCTTAGCGAAAACATAGTCGAGAGGTTGTAGTAGAGGCGCAGGGTCAACGACCTCGTTTCCGTATCTTGGAGGAGCCATTGTGATATATTAATTATGAGTACTGTAAACGATTGGAATAATTCTTAAGAAAGCAAGGTCACATCACTATTTTAGACGCGACGCAACAAGTCTTTATATAAACTCTATAAAATCCAATGCAAATCTTGCGCCATAACAAAAAGAAAAGACCACTCCGCAAGATCATGACAAGGTTACAGCAAAAAGTCCGCAAGTGGAGTTGGTGATGGGGCCTTTGCCTCGGTACATGAATCGTTTAGTCCTAATCCGACGGGAGAGTTACTCAGCCGAGTATATGAGCCGTGCCCATCGAACATTCTGTGACGTTGGCGATAACGTTATGCGGCGCGCGGTTAATTCCGTGGAATCTATCCGTATTTATAAGCTAGATAAAACGTGTTGCTTTCAAAGGTTGTTTGTCGCTATCCAGACTATTATTGGTTATATTCAGAGCAACGTGGATTTGTTGTTGGTCAATCATGCACATATTGGATGCTTCGATACCTTGAGACCTTTTGCTTCGAAATTGTCACACTTTTCTTATAAATGTTCGTATGGAAGTTCCTTACGAGGCAGCCGAGACTCTATACGTCGGGGCGGTGGTTGCACCGAACAAGGCACGGTCTCACAAGCATTGACGCTTTGGTAAAGACTGTCGCTCGTATCCACTTCACCGCCATTGATTGACTTCGAGGCGATAGATGATCTACCATGCACAGAGCAGAATGGAATATGTAAAAATGCGATGCTATAGAAATCAATACCATACGCCAAATCCTGTTAGATAAGGACTGACAATAGTAACACAAAATATCATACAACGCCTTTAAGATTTATACTCAATTGGGGTCAAAGAAGATCTTAGCATCGTTTGCTACATGATTCTCAATGATTTTAGCACCCTAGACTTCCTAATGCTTCTTGATTATTGGTGATTTACGAGTTCATGAATGAGATGTTCAAGGAAAAGCATCATCCTACGATACATTGCATACTGCAATTAGGTGCCAGAAACTTGGCCGTGATTTTACTTCGAAATCAGAGTCCTTTTGAGAGTTTAGTTAATACTATAAAACACACTGACAGCGATATCTGCCGCCCGCACGAAAGCTGACGCCTTAAACAGGGAGGAAAGAAAGCTCAAGACCTTGGCCCTAAGCAAAACTTCAAGCTGCATCCCAATGGACCTTTTACAAGCAAGTGCCCTGGCGTTATTCACCAATGCAACTCGATCTTCTCACCAACAACTTTTGCCTTAAACCACTACACAATCTCGATCTTGTCCTGAACAACCTTTGCACCCCGAAGGACATCACTTTGAATCAAGGTCTCAACCGCCCACCAAAGTCCAGCAGACGCAAGATTCCGTGCGATGCACTGTCGCGAGCCAGCTCCGAAGTAAAAGCTGTCACGCACCATCTCCTGAGACGGATTGAGCCATCGCCCTGGCATGAACTGACACGGATTTGGAAGAACTTCGGGATTATGGTGCAGCATGAATGCGCCGGCGCTGACACTGGTACCAGGCTACCAGCTAACATGACATCAACAACTTGAGCTATAACCTCTTGTCGACAAAGTCATAGAACCGCCCTGGTAGGTGGAAGAAGCGGACCCCAGCGACGAAGCTATGGATGAACTCGGTGACGTGGAGGCGACCATTACTGATGCCGTGAAAGCATTCGCCAAAGAGGTACACAGCCACTGTATCTAAAGGGAGAATGTGAGACAGGTTGAGGACATTGACTGCAGCACTGTTTGCTTCCTTCATACCTCCGGCGCTATATCTCAGCCACAAAGCATCGAGAACCTTGTCAACGTCCGGTTTGCCCTTTGCGATTCGTTGATGGGCGAACATGGGCGCAACGGCTTTGGCCCTCGATGCCCAATGAACCGAGTCCAGAGCCGAGAAAATAGTCTCAAAGCCATTGACGCCGTAATTAGATGACTTTTCATGTAGCCGCCGTTCTTAATGTAGATAAGGCTGAGAGCCGCGCCATCAGATACGTCGACTTCATTGGGAGCAATTGTCACAACCGGGCCATATTTCTTATGAAGCCTGTCGATAACGCGGCTTTCAACTACTGTCCAGGTGAGCTACCTGAGCCACCAGAACCAGATAGGGGCGAAACGGGCCACGAGAGGGCCTAAGGGGCGACCGAGGGGGTCATTGTACAGTCGCCAGAGAAGGGCAGTCAGAAGCGCCACTACGATCGCCGCCCTGACGCGTAGGGGGCTGGCGAGGCCTTGGACACAATTAGATGGGCCGACAGCCGTGATGTTTGAAAGGTGAAGGAGGTTTGCGGGCAGAGAAGAAACGGCGAGTCCGAAGTGAAATGAACGAGGAGTGAGGTCAGCTAATAACGGGTGCAAGGCGGAGTTGAGGCTTGAAGCGGGGTGCGTTGGTGGCGCCCGGCTTTGGTGTGTATTAGGTGATTGTCGTTCAATGCACCTATAGCCGTGTGCAATGGTTACTTGGTCCAATAGGCGTGTCTGACACTCTATTGTGCTGCACCTCAGTATTATGGAAGAGGCAATGTGTAGGCAGTCGCGTGTTGGAGATGCCCACATCCATCCATTAGGCTCAAGCAAGATGCAACAATTGGACATGCCAAATCGTCAATCGTGATCTTTAGGCAAAAGGGTTGCCTTCGGCCTACCATAAATACAAGACGTGCCTCTACACTTCTTGTTTTCTCCTCAGCCTGATTCTGCACATCCGATGAAGTACTCTGCACTGTAGCACACCACACATATGCAAGTGCACACCGGTCATCCACTGTCAGACCAATAACATCCCGCCTTCCACTGTAACATGAAGTCTGCAGTCGTACTGAAACGTCTCATACGAGACATGTGCACGCCCGTACGCCTCCACTGCCTGCGTTGCCACAAACTTGCGACTGCCCTGTGTAATACTTGGTAGGCTCCTGTAATACAGGCACTCACTACCGCTGTGACGACACCTGTATACCTGAGGCTCACTGTAGCCATACTCCAAGCATCCATCTAATTGCCCTCCTCAACATCCACAATCTCTACACCTACATCCATCCCATCACCGCTTCCATTTTAGCCGCTTCTCACATGGTAACAAAATTACAATCTGCCTTGCATGCATCCACACACAATCCGACACTATGAGTTTTGGTTTCTCCGTGGGTGATATGCTTCACCTGATTGAGCTGGCCCAGAAGACCCGGCGATCATTCATCGATGCGCCAGCTCAATTCAGACAAATATCCGAAGAGTATCACAGCCGTCGGCCTGTATTAATAGAGGGTGTTTGACTGACACAGAAAACAGAGTTAGAACTCTCTCAAACATCTTGCGCGACCTTGAAGACGTTAATCCCCAGCGTGCGCTGCCAGAGGCTCTATCCGATTGCCTTAGGGACATGTCGACGCTTGCACCCGCTTACTGGGGGAGAGAAAAGCGGTTTTACTCAAGTACCACGCTCTAGACTGCGAGAACGGTAAAACACAAAGAATATGGTAAAAGAATTCTTTGGGAACCCGATGACATTAAAGATATGCGACCGTGATTAACCTCCAACACTGTCTTGCTAAGCAACGTCGACGATACATTGAATGGGTACGTGGCCCGCTCATCCCAGAAGAGACAAACTGACGAACCCGTAGACACTCTCTTGTCGAGGTCCAGGAGGGTATTGACCGGGTTCATGATTTTAATGAAGGCCAGGAGTTCACTACTATTACGACATGGCTCTCGTCACTACAAAACGCAGCGCAGCATAACGACGTATTAACCAGACGCCACTCCGGCACTAGGAAATGGTTTCTCACCTCTCAGCAATATGCACATTGGCGAGAGTCAACTCGAGGCACCCTGGTCTGCCTTGGTCTTCCATGTGGAGGCAAGACCGTCATTGCTGCATCTATTATAGACGACTTACTGCATAGGTTTGAGCCAGAGGACATAGTCGGCGTCGCGTCAGTAAACTGCAGTTACAAACGACAACATGAGCAGAGTGTTGAAGCTTGTATGGCCAGTATGCTCAAACAGCTTGTCCAGCAATTGCCCAAGATGCTCCCGAGTATACGCAATTGTATCACCGGCATAAGAACAACCAGACAAGACCATCTATGGATGATATTGTTCAGGCACTTCAAGCTGTCACTGGCTCTCGTGAGCAGGTCTACTTGTTAGTAGGTGCATTGGACGAGTACCCCATGATGGCTCGTGACTTGACGAACTTCTTGAATGGAATCTTCCAGCTACAGTCAGAGCGCAACGTTAACATTCTAGCAACATCGCGATCGAATATTGCCGGTATCAGGCGTTACTTCAATAATGGCATGTAATTGAAGATCAGCGCCCGAGAGAAAGATGTGCGCCCGGTGTTGGAGAACGCAATGCCTGGGATGACGAGCTGTATCTCGAGCAAGCCAGCTTTCCAGAAGCAGGTTGTTGAAGTAATTGTCAAAGCTGTCGATGGAATGTAAGTTTGTAGTATATCGCACGTTAGCCAAATTTCCATGCTCAACAGCCAGGTTCCTCCTCGCACGACTTCATCTTGATTCGCTGCGCGATAAGGTGCGGCGAAAGGAAATCCTCAAAGCACTCGAGTCGACGGGTGTAATCTTCCCGAGCTTGAAGACCTGTTGTCTTATCGTGAAGGGCTTGTTATTGTCGACGAGAAAAGAAACATCATCAGCCTCGTACACTATACGACCCAAGAACACCTTGACCAAGTGAGACATAAGTGGCTTCCTAACTCCCACAAAGAGGTTGCTCTTAGCTCTCTTGCTTACCTGCCATATGACGACTTTGCCGAGGGTACCGGCCAGAGCGACAGTGTGTTCGAGCATCGCTTGCATAAGTATATACTATTATACTACTGTGCTAAGAACTGGGCCGACCATGTGCCCGATGCCCTCGATGAAGAAGTCGATGAAGCAGCTTTCGAGTTTCTTGAAGACGATCAGAGAGTCGCTCATGAGGTACAGGTGCGAATGGTGACGGGCTACCACTTCCAACGTTACAATGCCAAGGCGCCCATCAAGATTGGTGCTGTTCACATCTCGGCACAATTTGGGCTTACCAAGATTGTGTCCCAATTGCTTGACGGTGGCGCAGAGGCAAATGTCAAGGATGACTTGGGCAGCACGCCGCTGTCGTATGCTGCCGAGTATGGTCACAAAGAGGCCGTGGAACTGTTGATGAAGCACACAGACACGGATACAGATTCTGCGGACGAACAAGGCCGTACGACTTTGTCGTGGGCCGCAGGGGCGGACATGTCGATGTACTCCGTCAATGCCAACTCGAAAGACGATAACGGACAGATCCCAATCTCATGGGCAGCGTGCGAGGGCCATAGAGATGTGGTCGGGTTTTTCATGACTCTCGATGACGTCCAGATACATTCTGCAGATCGTCGTGGAAATACAGCATTGAAGTGGGCGGCGCGAAATGGGTATGGGGACATTGTGCTGGCCTTGGAGGCGAAGAGCCAACGGGGTGGTGCCGCAAGACGGATATCACTATTGGATACGGAGTCTGATACTGCGATGGAGAATATAGGTGACACACCAGCGTCTCACGTGCATGAGACAGCGCGAAGGAGCGTGGTAGGATGTAGTTCGAATGATTGGGACTCGTATACAGACAGTGGCCTTTGGAAAAGTTTTTAGAAAATAATTTATCATGATTTAACGACATAATGAGTGTTTATATATATAGCGGGAGAAGAAATAAAGTCTCCGAAGGCTTCCCATCAATCCTGCATGCCTCCCTCGAGATGTCTGATGTCCAAGGCATAAGACACCACCGCTGGCGGCTAGACTAGATAGAAAACGTTGGGTCGTTTTCCTACGCAGAGCCTCGTCTCCCTCATCCAGGTAATTATAACAGATCTCATGTATTGCTGTGGCGCATCCAACATAAGCTGACCAATACCGTTGCTGGAGAAGGGATCAGGCTCGGAATGTCTTGTATGACAAAGTGAGGGGGAAACGATGGTATGCAACCATTTCGTGCTGTACTACTCCAGCCTTGAGACAAAGCCTAGATAACAAGGCACAATGTTGCTTGGCGGTTTGGACAGGGCCGGTGGTTGTATGTACTGTACACCCTGTTTGGTTGTATCGGCCTCTGTAATCGAGTTTATGGGCTAGACCAGCCCAGAACCTCGGGATCCCTTATCAATGAGATTTGACAACGTCATATGACTGACAAATACTTTGGCAAGAACTCATCAGGTGATTCGCCGCGTTACTCATAAATTAACTCAGTTGAAGTAAAGTTTGCAGCAAAACATACGTAAAGACCAACGATGCATCAATGTTTTATTGACAGCACGTGGATAAGATACTTGATTAGTGAATAAAATTATATGTTATTCTAAATATTCAATCTAACTACCCTGCAATCAAAATTGTTAATTGCGAGGCGAGGAAACGACGCTTCAGCCTTCCTCAGAGTTCGCTGGGCATAGGCGCCCAGGCAAGGCCTTTGATCGCGAGAATGATAATACTTGTGGTCGTATTTTATGTGGTAAACTCCGCATCCCGAAAGTATGTCACAAACATACCTTAAATGGCGACAAGTATCCTTTGGGCATGGAAACATGCCAAACTTTGATACCACATCGCCTCCTCTAAGCTTAAGGTTGTGCTATAACAAGATTCAGACCAAGCCAAGGAAGAAGCTGCCCAGCCCTAACTCGATTAAACCCTATAACAAGAGTTTGAATATTGAAATGACTTTCTCTAAGCCGTATTTATGATGGCTACCGATCCACCCTGCAGACATTCCATCCAAACTCCGCATCGCATATGACACCGTTGAATCTCTCATCATGGCACCACGTATTTCTCAAAGCTTGAGAGCCCTTGCAGGCCCTACAAGAGGTACCCGCTGGACGACAAAATATAGCTATCAGCCCAAGTTACCATCGAGTCTCAGCTCATCTTCCTGGCCCAAGACGGCATCGATCAGACTCTATGAGAAATTGCAGAGATGTAAAGAACTGCAACGAAAATACGAGGAACAACGAAACAGTATGGAGGAGTCGAATGCAAAGATTCAAAATCACTCATTGGAGAGCATTGAACTTTGCATAACTCTCACGAAGTGGCTTCGCAAACAAGTGCAGGAAGACTGTAGGAGCTATCCCTACTCTCTGTTGACAAATACTAACATTTCTAGATGATAAACTGCCTTTGACTGTTCGGAGACTGCTGGAATTCCGCCGAGTTACTGGGGAGTATGCTTCCCGGTGGCTTGGAACAAGGAGTGAGGAGTGAGGACAGGGTGTTCGACGAGTGTTCCTATTTTCTGCTCATGACATTTCCTACATGACGGCCAGTAATATTAAGTTGAAGCAAGCTTTGGGGTTTCCTATTCCACCACACGCCGCTAAATACTCTCAAACTCTGAAACACCTTGCCGGTGACTCATTTTCCACCTGCGAAAGCTTATCCTTTGTTCTCAACTCATGGTATAATATCTAAGTTGTGAGCTAGATGTGCTATTTGCAGTTAAGACCTGTGGCTGAGAGCTTAAAACAGCAGAGAGAACTTAGTAAGAATTAGCCCACCAGCCGGCAGATCATTTAAGGGAAATGCGAACCAGTATAAATGCCCCCTTCCCTCCAACGTGCCCTTGTATACATGTTTCCCCCCTCCCATTCCTGCATCGCGACACTACCTCCTCGTCGTCTATTCCACCATGCGCTCTCCATCACCGAACGAAAAGTTGTGGGATAGATTGCCTAGCGAAATTCGCCTTCTCGTCCTCCAAAGTTTGACGCAGGATGGCTCCTCGCTAGCTTGCCTGGCCGCCGTATCCCGAGCGTGGCAGACTGACGTTGAGCGATACAACTTTTCTCGCATCAGATTAACCCCCTCGCGCCTCATGGACTTTCGCTCCATGGTCCATCGCAATCAGGGCCTCGTACGCTATATCTGGTTCTGCTTAGAACTAGATGAATATGATTGTACGCAGTGCGCGCCTAGCGGCGGTGTGCTCAGGGCCGACGAGGCGACAGCGGCAGTGACTGTTAGCGACACAGAACACCGTTCTATTACCACAGCCTTCCAGGTTTTATTCTCTGTTCTCAGTGGATGGGATCAAGACAGCAACTTAATGCTCGACATTAGCATTTACTCGCCCAGTGACGCTCAACATTGGTTTCCCTACCTAACGTTTATGCCTGATAGCCCTTCCAATAGGCTAGAGGGTAGTGGCCTAGAGCTGACCACAATAAACCAAAGCTATCATGACCCTCCTCACGGTTGGGTTACTGGTTTCAGACAATCAGCTCCACATCCGGCAGCGGTCCGTAAAGCTTTCCATTATATTGTCCAAGAGGGACAGTTTGATGATGACGATTCAGAATTCCAATGGTGGGATCAGCTCCCTTCAGTCTCCTCCGTTACTAGTATACTTCTCCGGCAACAAAGTCGCCGTAGATGGGAGCCAAGAGAGCTGACCTATATGCTGGCCCGTTTCCCCCGACTCCAGGAAATCCATTATGAGCCCTGGAGAGAATGGGAGGGCTTTTCCCAGCGCACTACAGATAATGGTAAGTATTATTACCTTCCATTCCTTGATTTTTGTGTATAGGTCTTCGTCATAACTTATGGCTTACCACTTACATTTACGGTCTAGAATATGTATCTCTTTTTGAGTCGATCCAACATGGCCACCATCTTCTTAAAAGGTTGGTAGTCTTTGAGAACTTCAACCAACAGTATCCAGTATTTGTGCAACGATTTCTCGACGGGGAGGATTTGGCTGGCTGCGACACTTTTCGCATTCCATCCCCAGCTGTTGGCCAAATGATGGCACTCACGAGCCTCCCGCTAGAGCATCTCGCCGCTTCCTTTATCATAGATGCTAGTCATTTCTTCGCCATCGACTCCTCTTGGGAATGGCCCAACCTAACCTCGCTGGTATTGACTTCCCAACTCCTTAAGCCGGAAGAGGATTCCACCAAGATAGACGCTCTACTAGAGGCAGCGGCGGTGGCGGCCCTCAGGATGCCACGGCTAGAAACTCTAGAGATTTGGAACGGGAAAAGAGGGTTGGCGGCGCTCTTTCAGCATCGCAGGATCCGCGATTCACGGCATGGTAGGATTCTTTGGAGGGGCACATGGAAATATCACATCACAGCCTCTGTCCTTCAGGCTTGGGAAGCCATCGGAGATCAACATACCAGCTGGAGACTCGATGTGGTCCAGGAACAGGTGGATGAAGCAGCCATTCAATCACATGGCGGTGCATTGCACCACCTAATGCTCTCTGGCCAAGCCATACGCTCCATCTCGTTGCAGCAGATTCGGAGAGAACAAAAGGCTCTAGAGGGCGTGGACATTCTGTCATGATTATACATACTACGTCAACTGAAAGCGGAGGCAAGAGTATCTGCCGTTTGAGGTACTCGGACATAAATTGCTTGGAGGTAATGGAGACATCTAGCCATCTATTTCTCGACTGGAAGCTGCACACTGTTTTCATGAAACAATCTAAACTCCTATATGCTTACCAAATGTCTGACCTACCTTGAGTACCGTCTCAATATGCTGTAAACTCAACTTGACCTCCTCAAATCTCGCAAGAGTCCTCGCCGTGTTCAAAGCATTAGAAATCTCCCGTCCGTTAAGCTTATGGTGTATCAGATCTTCAGCTGCCTGACTACTCAATTCCTTCCCACCAATCTCGGTCTCATCAATGGGGACAGCTTCAAGGTTCTGTTTCCAGATCTGACGACGAACCTCTGCCTCGGGGGGACCGAACGAGAGCGACAGGTGGATGCGGGACTTCATCGCAGCATCGATACTGCTGAGGCGGTTTGTAGTTAGAAAGACAATGCCTGAGAAATATTCGAGATGTTTGAGAAATACGGCTACGAGCGCATTGCGAGTGGTGCTGTTGGAAGTCATGTCTCGGCTCTCGAGGAAGACGTCTGCTTCGTCAAATAAAATGATCGCGTTCCAGGTTGTGGCGTACTGTAGGATCTGTTTAAGCCTGTACTCAAAGGCATATGCTCTTGATTTGTGCGTGATCAGTACATATGACTTGCCCCGGAAAGAGTACTACTCACCTATCGTATCTGTTTAACTCGCTCATGCTTGTGGACAAAAGAGCCTTCTTTGACATCTCGGCTGCTGTTTCTGCAGAAAGCGTTTTACCGGATCCTGGAGTTCCATGCCTGAAAGTTGAGTCAACGTCAATCTTCCTCCAAATACTCAATAACAACTTACAAAAGAACCACCAGTCCTTTGCCCTTTTGTTCTGACAGGCTCCTGACTCTTTCTGGGTGTTTGTGTGACATGACAAGAGCTTTCAAGACTTGCTTTTGTTCCTGATCAAGAATGAGTGATGACCATGCGTTCTCCTTCCAAGTCACATCCCTCAGATTATCAACTAGATAGCGACACCACTCCTTTCGGCCGGTGGAGTACCCCAAGGCATACGGCGGACAGAGGAAAAGTTCCGGATCATCAACCTCTTCAATCATGGTGACGTGGCTATAGTTGTCTTCTTCGAAGGTCTTGCGATCAAGTACAACACGCCCAGTTTCCTGTCCTTGTTAGTATTATTCATGAAATCTGTACGAGTACTTACTGTGAATGGCAGCCAAATGGGCGGATAGTCTGCCATATTAGGATCAAAAAAGTCGAGTGGAGGTTCTTTTAGCCACTCTGCGATGCCATCATAGTCTTTTGTCAGAATCCCGCGATTGATGATGAACTTCTTGCCTCGCTCAAGAAGTTCGATTTCTAGATCTGGTCCACGATCACTGAACTTTCTTGGATATACTGGAAGTCTTTTGATCTTGGCTGGATGGTCTGACGCAAAGTAATCGCTCTGGAAGATGCTAGTAGATCGCTGGGCTTCACCGATTGCATCATCATTGGCGTCGCAGTATTTCATATGAATCGTCACATATGGTCCGCGGTTTCGACTTGTCCCATAAGAGACCTTCTCCACGCGTGATAACCATGACTTCCCCAGCACTTCGCTGACAACAAGGTCTCCGGGACGGTAGATAACCCATGCTTGCTTAAAGGTGATCATCTGTTTCTGGAGCATATGCTGGAGGGTGCGTCTCTCAGGGCCCATTTCCTCTTCCATGAAGCGGAAGAGTAAGTTGAGATGTTGCCGCATCCGAGGAGAGCCAGCCTCATCTCGATAGGCTTCCAGGGGGTCCCAGTAGTGCAGAAGGATCTGAAATGGGCTCTCAAGCTTGAAAGAGCTCTTAAAGTCTGATGCAACTGTTGGGTAAGAGCCGATGACATCTTGGAATGCTTTGTGAATCAGTGGCGAGTTGATGCATACTGTAGTTGACTCGACTTCTCGCTTCTCTGAAAATCGTCTTCTGACAATCAAGGCATACGGGCTGTCCTCGTCATCTTCGGAGTTCTTGGTTGGCTCAGAGTCCTGAAGCTGTTCTTTGCATTGATCTCTGCCCTCTTTGTTCTTGGTATGGTGATAGACCTTGGATTCGCAGATCGACTCTTGGGAGGCTGACTCGGTGCCATTCTCATGACTAGGGTCTAGTTGATCAGAAGTCATCTTGCGGTGGAAGACTAAGAGAATGTTGTGAACCAAGAAGTTGACACTATAATGCCAACGGGGTTTTGTTTTGGTTCCACCTTCAATATAGGTAACGGGCCGAGATCTTGTTCAGGTAACCAATTCGGTCAGCCTGCATGGATAGTGCAAGCACGTCAGATGAAAATTGTATACGTGGCGCAGCTACTGCAACTAAAAGGCCCAGAAGTAAGATTATCTGTAAGACCAACGGCATATGTATTCCTGTTCGGGGTACGACACTAAATCACGCGCAGGAATCAGACCATATGATCGCGAAACATCCTTGACAGCTGAAAAGAACTTCGGAATATGTAGCCAATCGGAACCTTGATGGCAAATGAAAATAGTCTTGGAGGTTTTCGGATATTTTAGGATAAATCCACAATGTTTCTTAACCAATCGGTCTCGACCAGCTGAAAGATAAGTACAAAGGTCAGGGGTGAGCGGGCGGGGTACCTTAGTCATTTTCAATCCCACATTCCGTACATGCATAATGAAACACTCCTGCCTAACCTACACATCCATTCACGAGCAGGAGGGAACCTTTTCATTCTTTTCTCGACATCCTTCGTGACATGAGAAGAAAGAGACAGTAGAATCACCAAAAGCCGGGGCAACCATGTCGACACTCTCTTTCTCGAGAACATCATCCTTCAACACGGCCGAAAATGGAAATTTGTTCAATACTCTCTGCGAAACTGCAATCAAGGAGTTTCTAGAGGATCCCGAGATACTAAAACTCGCTGACAATCCCTTTGTCCAATACGTAAACCACAGAAGAGAGCAGACTGAGAAATGTAGAGAGGAGGAGCACAACGACCCCATTGAAGAGACGCAACAATGCATTCGCGAGGTCGAACAAAAATGGACAGGCAGCAAAGCTCATCATCTGCGGGAAAAGGTGAACCCGTTCGTCGAAAGTATCACTGCCTTGACGAAATCATGCGAGAGCCTTCTTCAGCCTGCACCGTTTGGCGTCGCGATCGCTGTTTCAGGGTTCAGAATCGTCTTGGAACTCGCTACCAAAGCTCATGGCGCCGTGGAAGATATACTCAATGTTCTGGACGAGGTTTCTCCGCTCTTGGACTGCTACAAGATGACCGCGATGTCACAGCAGAGTTCTCCACAGATATCCAAGGCCATCAAGAGATCATACAAGAATATTCTGCAGTTCTGGGCCTACTCAGCTAAGGTATTATCCAAGAGCTACACGAGAGTCACCCTATCTTCGGCAATTAGACCCTTCAAGCAAGAAATACAGACTTTCCGGGAGAAATTCCGCGAAGACTCCAAACAGGTGAGCCAGTTGCTCATCGCAAGTATGGCAATTGAGAGAGCAAGGGAAAAACAAGAGAGAACAAGAGATGAAATCCTGAGGTGGATAAGAGGTGGCGAGAAAGCCGAGTCATTTGATGCAGACAAGGACTTGGAATTAAGGAACATGAGTCGCACAGAGGGCACCTGCACATGGTTGTTTGAGAGACAAGAGTTCAAGGACTGGAGAGACGCCAAGAAGAATTCTGTGCTTTGGTATAATGGACCTCCAGGCTCTGGCAAAAGCGTTTTGGCATCCGCGGTCATCAACCACCTGCAAGAGCAGCTTGAATCAGAAGTTGTTCACTTTTTCTATTCGTTCAGGACAGCATCCAAGCGACAAGAGACTTGCGGACTACGATCTATCGCTCTCCAGCTTTTGAGTAAACTGGACGTGGCCTCGAACCCCTTGAAAGCCGAGTACGAACGGGCGAGGAAGACCTGCAAGCACGAGCTGACCAACAACGATGGAGAAGTAATGGTCAGACTTCTACGTGCACTGCTGAACCACAGCCGCTTTGCCCAGGTTTATGTGGTTTTAGACGGGTTGGACGAATGCTCAGTTCGAACTCACGGCAATCCTTTGTTCTACAGCTTGCAGCAGCTTCTCAACTTGGATACGCTTGGGACAGTCAAATGGTTCCTTACGAGCAGGGACGTTCCGGAGATACGGTCCGTTAAAGACGCTTTCAAAGCCGTCGAAATTAGGCCAAACCTCAAGGACACTTCCAAAGACATACGTTCCTTTCTCGACGCCCAGAGGATCTGTCCAGCTCACGATGAGCCCTATTTTGACACGGACGAACATAACTTTCTCTATGCGGCGCTGCTCTGTGAGATTGCAAAGAACAAGGCTTACAGAACTAAGCAGGGAACCATTGACGCCCTCCAAAGCTTTCCCAGAGGTTTGGAGGACTGCTATATCAAGTCGTTGGCCAGGATTGCAGGACTACCCTATCATAAACAGGATCTAGCCAAGTAAGTTTGATACGAAACAATACATGAGCCTTGGTGACTATACGATGGCCAATGATATTAACATACTGCCACAGGCGAACCTTTCGAATCCTCACATTGTCGGAAAAGGAACTTACGCTACTGGAACTTACTGACGGCCTCAACCCTTATGCCGATCCTGCCAACGATACAATCAAGCCCAAGGAAGATGCGATTCAATTTTACGATAAAGTAAGGGACGTCTGCAGCCCTTTGATTACCATGGAAGACACAAATGGTTCTCAGAAGATCTCACTGTGCCACAAGTCAGTCAAGGACTTTTTTATCGACCCGAAGAACAAGGACAAGATCGAAGAGTACCTGCCAGACTTCTTCATCGACGAGAACAAAGCGTTGGAGGAGCTTGGAGTCAGTTGCATCGAGTATCTCAGCGAGGAACGATATCAAGATCCCTCTGACCTGAAAGCGTTGGTCACAAGGTCGGAGTCATCGTACAACAACGCTTTCCTCCGATATGCCGCCGTCTTTTGGCATATGCATATGCAAAATATTACTCCAAGCTCTGAGACCCTGAAGATTGTTGAAGACTTCCTCAAAAGCCCTGCATTTTGGACCTGTATCTACGTACAAAGCCACGCAGCTCCTCATCTTTTTGCAAGGTACAAGCGGGAAACAATTAATGATTATAAGCAGATCCTGGGAACCATACCGAACGCGGAACTTCAATTTGGACTTCCTCTACCACCATGGAAAGAAGATTCCTCGTCTACTGATTACGTATCGCTGGACCGCTCGTTTTGCTCTTTCGCTTTAGACTGGGGCGAACTTCTTGTTAAGAACCCTGATCAGCTTCATCATGCTGTTCCACTCACTCTTTATAAGCCTAGCTGTCACCTTAAGCCTCCTAGCAGGCTTCAGAAAGTTCACATCAAATACGTTGCCAAGCTACTCGAGTCACCAACCGAGATGCGAGTATTGGAGGCGTCGTTATCTTCTACGGGCAAGAAGCGTGGCAAGACACTGCAGCTTCGGATCGTTCGCGAGGACGGTTTGATGCCCCGTCGCCGGGTCAAAGTGAATCAAGTGGATGTCTTCTCTCGGTCGAAGTCTGATCAGAATAGAGAGGCCATCTTCGACTTGCTGGCCCCTGACAGCGAATGGATCACCACAATTGCTCGAGATAGTAAGGAGGGCGACTCCTTTCTCCAGTGCTGGAAAGTGAACAGTCGCGATTTGAGTATTACTCGTTGCCTTCTGGACGGCAGATCAGTGAACCGAGTTGACCAGGTCCCCCCGCAAGTGTGTAGAGACCTGGAACTGGGCCTGGAAGGCAAAGGACATTGGAATCTGGTACAGCTTGATGTCGTCACACAGCCGACTCGGAAAGACTCGGAGTCAACGACTCGGCTATTCTATTTTCGCAAGGGCCAATGCGCAGTTCATCACCATGAAAGGGCGAAGTCATCCAACAATGTAATCGTCAGCAACTCGGACTCCCAAGACAGTAGTTCAGACTCTGATGGTGGCTCTGGTTGGAGTTCGGACTCTGATGATGACTCTGATACAAGTGATACGCAAAGTATTAACGGAGGGACAAATGGAAGCCAGGAAGCTCCAGATAATCTACATGGAGAGCGCAAAGAGCCGATGACAGAATGTCTTATCATGGCCAATGACTTTGGCAGACCTGTTTGGCAACCCATCCGGACCGACCGCTTAATGTGGTCTAGAATAATAGGCACTCGTCATCCGACATTACCTATTGTAGCTGTCTCTTACAAGCTTGGTGGAGTAGACCTACTCAACGACGAAACTGGCTGCAGTACAAGTTTGGAGATCACGGAAGAGGGAAAAGGCCAAGGAGCAAGGCCGCTGGCAATGTCACGAGGTAAGTCAACTACCTACCTACCCATTCTACGAAGGGTGATGAGGATCCGTGTTGACGTTCAATTAGAGATGCAATTCTCGCCATGCGGGAACTTCCTCACCCTTTTGTCCGTCAGTCTCTACCAGAAGGACGCCTGTGCGGAGTGTCAAGTCACTGTGTCATGCTTCGGGTTTGTTGAAACTGCTTCTGGACATAACCTTCAAACTCGCAAGCATGGTAAACTGGCAAGCTTTAGCTACAGATTTCTGGGCAAGGTTGATGAAATGCCTCAACCGTATATCATGAAAAATTGGACAGCTGAACACGTTGTCTTGGCTCTACCCCCATTGACCTATAGTCCGAAGATCATTAGAATCTCGCTTTCGCCTCCCACAGATCAGATCAACCCATCGGAAAGCTTCCCAACAAGAGCATCGACACTCTCACATCCTGTGTTCTTCCCACAATCGACAATTTCCCGCAACCCTCATATAATGTACGGCGATGGAGGCTCACCTGAGAAAGACAGTTACCTGTATCTCGTCTTGGACACGTCAGATCCATCATCATCATGTTCAGAATCAACGCTGCGCTGCGGACCTGGTCACTTCCGGGGAATGGCATGTCCTGAAAGCTCGTCTGATGACAAGAGGAGAGGGGTCAATGGTCCAGTGGTAATGGGTTGGAAAGTACTAGGTCGCGGTAAGGTCGGAAAAGCTGACGAGGTTGAAGGTCACGGAGGTTCTTCAGAAGAACAGCTCGCATGGCGGGAATGGAACGATGAAGACGGGGTTTCGGAGGATGTCAAAGCCAGTAGGTCGGCTACGGATGAGTATGAACTATTGCGTGGTGATTTTGTGGGAGAGACATACTCTGTCCCTATCCGATCCGGGCTGAATTGGACCAAAGAGGGTGTTCTTAGTTGTTGAACCCACTTGTTATCCGACAGAGGCATGTAATCATAATATTATCGATGATAGAGACTATGTTTCGTGAATGTGTCACGACACTAATCTACTTTTGGTTGAGCTACTATGAGCTTCTGCAAGTTCCGATCACGCTCTGCCAGTGACTCTGCCGTTGGTCGTCCATAAGCCTGTTCTGTCTCCTTCACGATCTTATCCGTCCAGTCTCCATCACCAATTCCCTGACCAGGTTTAGTTGCAGACGTCCCCTTGAGACTAATATCACCTGCATCATCCCAACATGCCTCCATGGTATCAGCCAAATTATGGAGAAATGCTCCGATTCCACCAGTTCCACCAGCACTGTTGTATGTCTTGAATGGCCCAGCTACTGCCCAGCGTGGCGCTATGCTTGCTTCAACGATAGTGTCTAGATCTTCAACTGAGACAACATCGTTTGAGACTAGATGACAAGCTTCGCGGAATAAAGCAAATGCTAGACGGTTTCCGACAAAGCCTTGGGTTTCTTTGTTGATTCTGACGGGGCGATGACCGGAGCCGAGATTCTTGAAGTAATCGATGGCGAATTGAGTTCGTTCTGGCTCTGTATGAAGTGAGGGGACGACTTCAATCAATGGCATTATATGAGGCTAAAAGATCGTGTCAGAGGATAGTTTGAGATGAGGGGTCAGTCGAACTCACGGGATTGAAGGGGTGTACCACGAGAACTCTGGTCTTATCTTCCAGATCCTCCACCTGCCTCGATGCACTTATCCCAGACGTGGAACTCCATAAGTGAGCGCTTGAAGGTGCATACTTAACTACCTCAGCCCAATTCGACTTTTTAAAATCAACACTATCAGGTCCTTGCTCCTGGACGATTGTTGCCCCAGAGCAAACTTCCTCGATGGAAGAGCATACAAGCAGTCTACCGTCAGCAACGAGTTTCTCGACTGTGATATCAGCCTGAGAACTTTCTTTCTTTGTAGATTCAAGATAGACTGGTAGGAGGCTTTCGATATGCTGCTTCAAATCACTGCGGACGTCGTATAGTCTAAGATTGGCGTTTGAATAGCGTAGATGAAGTGCGGCGAATGAGAGGCCAATTGTGCCCAAGCCGATGAGAGCAATGGTTTCCTTCTTTTCAGCTTCAGTCATTGTAATATTTACCGTTGTGATGAATGAATGGTGAATGAATGAACGGCTCAGAAGTTTATGGCGTGATGTAATGAAAGCGCGAATTTTGAGGCTGAAGTCTGGTGGAGAAGAGGGGAAACTGACCCGAGGCTAAAGTGAGTGATCACATTGAAGACGGGCTGTGATACCCGCATAGCCGACTGTACGTATAGAGAAAGTAATTACAGCAAGTAGTACAACTCTTCGTATTTCTTAAACCAGTCATCTATATTCGAAGCTCTCTACTGAATCTCAATTTTTATAGTCCCATTCCTCTTTATAGAGCAACGACGATCTTCTTTGCCGAAACACCCTTGGCGAGCGTGTTGATGCCCAGCTGAACTGCCTCTAAACCCTTTCCAACAACCTCAGCCTCCGGAACAGCCTTGAACTTGCCCTGCTCCAAGGCAGCGGGTATATAATCCCCGAAAACAGCCTTGGCAACAGGTGTGTTGATAATACTTGTCGAAAGAATAGTCTTGGCCTCAACACCTGCGACTTCAGAGGAAACAGATCGCACGCAGATGAGTTTACGAAGACCATCGGCGTGAACAATCGATTGACTCGCGCTGTTCATGCCTTCTTCTGAACCGCTCGCGTCAAATGCACCAGCGAGTTTCTTGCCTGTGAGGAGAGAGGCGATGTCCTTGGTGACTTGCGGAGACTTGTACTCGAAAACGTGGTCTGCTCCAAGACTCTTGACGTAGTCGTGGTTTTTGGCAGATGCAGTGGTGATGACTTCGTACCCAGCCGCTTTCGCAAGTTGAACTGCTGAGCCGCCTACACTAGATGATCCTCCCCATATGAGGACTGTCTCCCCAGTAGGCGTAGGGTTGAGAGTAGGATATCTCATCGCAAGGGTAACCTCGCCGAAAAGCGACCACGCAGCCGTAGCAAGTGAAAGCGGCAAAACAGCAGCTTGTTCAAAACTCAAGCCCTCCGGGATTTTCGAAGCGCACTCTGCGCGAATAACAGTGTATTCCTGGAACGCGCTGTGCGCATTATCCTTGGTAGCGAGTGATGTCGCGTAGCCTAGGACTCTATCACCGGGTTTGAAGGCGGTGACATCAGGACCTACGGCTTCAACAGTGCCAGCGACATCTTCGCCGAGGATAACGGGGTATTGCGATGGTTGGATGAAGATGCCGACGTATTGGTTGGCGATGTCAACGGGGTTGATGGCTACGGCTGAGTTTTTGACGAGGATGTGGCCTGGGGATGGTTCGGTGAGGGGGGCTTCCTTGACTTCGAGTGGTGACGTCTTTGCGGCGACTAGCCAGGCGGCGTTGTTGGTAGGCATATCGGCGATACTGAAACAGTGCAATTGAGATAGATTTATGAAAGATGAAAATAGGTGTAAGTGCTTGCAGATGTGAAAAACTTGGCTACGAGTAAAGACAAACTGACGTCGAATGTTCTTCGTCATTCCTGACAAAGGGACCCGTTGATCACGTCAATTATCGTGTGGTTGGCTGAGACTTGGTCCACGATCGGTTTAGCGGTGTCTAACAGAGTTTTTGGGCATCGGTACTTGCCGCGGTGTCGTCTCGTTCTGCCCAAGTCTAGTGGATACACGATCTACGATCTTAGCTTCTGTTTGGTGTTAGTGCGGTTTAGAGGCGTCAACTTTGTGCCAATGGCTTATTTCTTGCTTCAATGCAGGGCTATTGCGTTGATAGGCAGTTGATAGCGTCGTAAATAAAGATGCCTATGATGGTATATCACTATTTGCTCCGGTGGGTATCTCATCGAAGTGTTTATTCATCGCTGGTTTTTAGTATGGCTTTTGTAGATTATCATGCATGGTAACTATCGACGTCTAAGTTGTGGGCTAGAAGNNGTTGAGATTTGTGGCTGTGAGCTTATTCCGGCAGAGAGAACCTAGTAGATTATCATGATGAACCAAGCATGACCTGACATCTGCCATTAAGATGTCCCTACAACTTGGAAGGCCGCTTGACCTTTTTGGCTGTCCTGGGGAAGTCATGCATGATGAACTGACAAGAAGCAGCAGCATTCATCGTCTCATCATCTCTCAATCTTTCCATAACAATTGCTTCACCAGCGAACATGACGCTTATTTCCCCATTATGCCATCGCGGGAGGAATGTAATCTCGCCTAGTGGAGGCGTTCGACCAATATACGGCTCACGATACGCCTCACATCTACCGAGAGCACCCCAACTCTCGGCTACAGCTGTACCAAGACGCGTGTGATCCGTTGTCAGAGCGTCTAGAGGACCGTTTGGGACTATGCCAGGGCTGGATGGATGCATCTGTGCCACTTCCAGCATCTCGCGGAATGTTTTCTCACTCCAATTATCGTTGCTGCTGCGAACCTGGGTAGCTACTTTAGCTACAGATCGAGGGGAGCAGGCGTAGAATCCTTTGGTTGGTGCAGTGACTGGAAATAGATCCACGCATGTTGGCAGGTAGTTGAGGGGCAATGGAGGTGTAAGGCGAGGCCGAACATTCCCCACGTAAACGATACATGTCGTTTCAGGCACAGGTTCTGGACCAGTCTGATCAGGAGCCCATTTTGCTTCGAAGAAGCGCTGCCAAGTAAATGCAGTTAAGCAATCGATTGCCGACAACTTTGTCTTTCCGGATGACCCCTTCTTAGCCATGAAATCAAGAATCCGCATTGACGATTTGGGAAATGTCCATACACTGGCTGATGGCTGACGGAGCGTAGCCTCGTCTGAGGAGGCGAGATCAGAATCTGTCAGACGCGCCGATGTGAAGAGATTTTTCAATGTCGAACTCATACTCTTTGGCTTCCGAGGATCAAGCATTGTCCAGTGCGGAAGGTTTGCTGCCCGAGAGGCCACTTTATCAAGATCATGTTCAATCTGGGAGTTGGCCTTCATTGGCGACCGATCGACCAGATGCGGCGCCACTTGTTCCGGTAGTGGAGGCTCTGGCTCATTTCTCATCCGAACATTGGAAACAGCTTGCGTATGGGTAGCCCAGGACTTTATACAGTCGATAAACTGGACCAGGTCGCATATTGCGTGGGCAATAGAGACTGTTAGAACGATCCCACCTCTAATAACGTTAAAACGGGTGACGATAGCAGGGTCACCAGTTCGGACGGTTGGGAAATTCTCGGGGCAAAGTTTGCTTAGCCCGTCCCTATTGCCATCGGCAAAGGGAAAGCCAAAACTTTTGAGCTCGTCATATGAAGGCATTTCCTTTTCATCCCGATGGTCGTAGTATGAAAGGTGAGCACCGGCATATGGTGCTGGGGATATTTCAATCGAATTTCGACCTGTCTCATCTTTGACAATTTTCCCGCAGAGATAAGGGTGCTGATACAAGTAACGCGCGAGACCCCATTTGCAATCGTCATAAAGGTCCAAGGGGTTTACACCTGGCTTGAGGGGGAAGAATAATGTTGGTGAAGGGTAGACAGGTGCTGTCAAGCTATCCATAGCAGATAGTTCGATAATACCAGGGCTCACAGGGCCTGCTGGCTCGACCCAGGAGGTATCCCGCAGTTGCTGATTCATTGTTGTCTCCATGATTGATGAGAGTGAAATTTGAGTAATTGCTTTCTTAAGTGCTCGAACTTTTCCAATTCAGAAGCAGCTTCTCATAGGTAACCCAATTATAGGGCTTTTTCTTTAATGTGTTGCTGTGGTCGATCACCGATCGCAAAAGACGAACAAAACAATACGTAAGCAAATGGACTGAGATGGAATGCGTGTACATGTTCCACTTCTCCCTAATGTCAAGACAGCCGATGCGTTGAAACTTGAGAAATCCTTACACATTATCCCCAGATCTCATCAGCTGAGGTCTTTGCGGAAGTGTCTTAGAAGCGCCCTTCATGCTGAGATCGACATGTTTGAGATGACGAGCACGTTGGCTCTAGTCCTAGTTTCTCGTGTCAGAAAAAAAGGATGATTGGGCACTGCTTAGGAAGATCTCTTATTATCCTCGATCAGTCACTATCGATAACTGTTCTAGAGGGAGACTCAGGGATTGTAAACCGGGGTAGTTTAGATAACTAAGGACTGATGTCGGGGCCTCCAGGTGACAAGAGGAGGGAAGATGACAAAGATGATTCAACAAGCCTACAGTAGAATCTACCTAATTGGACCATTGCAGGATGCTCTTACAAATTCTGTCATTGATTGCCCGGAACCCTAGTTAGATAGTGGGTGCGGGGAGACATACCCTTGTCTCTCGGGCACGGCACAGAGATTAATAGCTAAGACATGTTGGAGACCGAGGTAAGGTACCAAGGAGATGGTTACACTATATTACTGCATATTTCACCTCTCAACGTGGACAGAATGCCGACTGTAGCGTATTTACATGCCAGCAGTAAGACTAAACGATGGCCAGCTGTTTTTACTGGTCGGGTGAGCGCGTGGTCAAATGAGTCAATAGTCCCCTCCCCAGCTTTGCTAAACTAATCCACGGCTCAGATCAAGGGAGTGCCGTGTCTCAGCTGTGAAATAGTCCCAAATGTCTCAGTCATTTTGCCATTCTTGCCAAGACCCCTGTTCTGATGGTAATAATTGAATCATTTTGTTATGTCTAAGACATATATTTACACTCTTCTATTTGACGAGTCACGTACTAAGCCTGTAAGTTTTAGCGTTGGTCTTGAAAGTATTGCTAGTCGCGCACTTCAGTAATGGTAAGACTACATGAGAATGATGGCGTAGGCTAGCGACATGATGTGGATCATGGTATAGTTCAAGGACTAGCTTCCATTGCAATGCTTCAGCGAGAGTTCTCTCACGATTGTCGATCAGTAGAACCTGGCCCAGGAGCACCGAAATATTCCTCCAGTCTAGCTTTCATCTTTCAATGTGCAACCACTGGTCTTGTTGGAACATCACCCGAGACCATTTCTAGCATTAAGTAAGGGCCTCCTTGGTTGTGTGATAGCTCGCCTCTCCGGTTCAATTCTTTCTTACCTACCTTCCTTCACCACGTCGCAGTTCACAAAGCACACAAGCCAAGGAACAACATAGTACTCCCCAAGTATGTCAGGTACTCCGAGAGTCGTGCCTGGCCTCTCTCCAAGCTCCGTTGCAGTCATCCAGGCACATCGAAACAGTCATGGTCAGGTAGTGAGGCTTTCTGCCATTGATCAAATTGCGCCTAGAGACTACATATCAACATGTCTCTTCTTCCGACACAGTCCCGATATAGACAAGGAGCAGATCTTTCTTGCTCTACATAGGGCTCTTTTAGTGACCGTGAACGATATTCCTGAGCTTGCATGCTGTGTGCAGAAGCGCGTCGATAGCAGCCGTGAAGAGGTTGAGCTTGTCTTTGATTCTGCCAGGGGCGTTGAGATTTACTACAAAGACTACAATTCTGCTCAGCTGTGCGGTCTATGGACTTACGGCAATTTTGACCAGCTTGAAGAGGAACATTTCCCACATAGCAAGATACTCAGGAGCCTTGTTTTTGGACCTTCATCTAAGTTGAAAGACAATGTGAAACTTCCTTCTCTTATTGTGCAAGCCAGCTTTATCCCTGGGGGTCTCATTATTGGCAGTCAGTTGCATGTAGGTTCCTGCACCCAAGTGTATTGCAACGCAGACTGACAAACTAATAGCATGTTGCTGGAGATGGTAAATGCAACTTCATGCTTTGGTCCACAATAGGGTCTCATTTTGCCGCCGCAACTTGTCAACCATCAAGCCAAACAAGATCACCTGTTCAATTATTGGACAGACACGACATCGTCAAGGGTGACCTTAACACAACTCTGGAGGAATTTCCCCACTGGAAACTGGCAGAGGACAACGACAAATTTCTCAATCCTACGGAATACGGTTCAGATGAAGTGTTTGAGAGTGCCATTTATTTTATACCAGCTGATAAGATTGCACTACTCAAAACCTGCATCCTGAGTAGTGTGCCTTCTACTACCAAGGCTGGAACCGTCACTGCATTATGCGCGTTCCTATGGCGTCATGTAGTTCTGGCAAGAGGCATTGACTGTCGAAAGTATCCCGACGCAAAGCTAGCTATTACAGTGGATGCGAGAAGCCGTATGGAAAGCCCAGTGATACCGTCCACATACTGGGGTAACTTTGCAGAGCCAAACGCAGTGGCTCAGCTATCTGTAGCTAGTCTGCAAGAAGGCTCTGTTCTATCATCATCACCGTCACGGAATTGCAAGAGTACAATCTACGCTCAGGCCGCACTAAATGTACAGAGGGCGATAGCTGCAGTGGATGACAAGGCAGTAAGACGACTCGTCGGGCTTTTAAATCAGATGCCGAAGAGCACCACTTTGACCTGGAACGCCAACCGCTATCCGGGTCCTGATATGCTTAGTAGTGTGCATTCAGCACCATGGGTACAACGATATCAACTTTGGGAAAGATCTCGGTTATCCTCTCGCCACAAGAGTTACTGTTAGTGATACGGAAGATAAGCCTGATGGCCGTTGTCTAATTTTACCACCACGGCGTGCCGATTCTAGGGGTCTTGAAATCTCACTGCAGTATGATAAAAGAACCTTGCGAAATCTCAAAGATAATGTTGAATTTTCAGAGTATTTCACGAGAAGGAATTAGTTAGTGAATCAAGTGCATTCAAAAGGGAAAGCAGTCATTATTTGCATGGGTTTCAAGGTCTATGCTTCATCAGCAATGTTAATTTCAGGACTATCAGTGTCAAAGAGACTGAAGGACGTTTTGCTTACGTAGATAGCCTCCTTAGTATTGTCCAAGACCCATGTTGCGGGTTGTCAAGAGCACAGCCTTGCCGGTTTGCGTCGCTTGAGGCGGATTCATATTCTCTTAATTTGATAATTTACCTAATAATGGTTAATATCTAACCATATCATGTTAATACTAAATCCCATCTTCTTTCTAGCATTCGTCTCTGAATCTCGCCAACTTTTCTTTTCTTACGCCGTGGAGCTGTTACTGGAATGAGTAAAGCAATATGCAATAGCAGCCCAAGCTGACATGGGTTGCCTATTTCAGCCCCCAAGCGACCCCACTCGTGTCAGCTCACAAGCCTCAGCATAATGAGATATTTTCAGTCTCACACGAAGCCCTTGCACAAACACTCCGCTGATCTTTTTTCGCGGCCATGTTGTGTGCAGTATGTATGTCCATATTTCAGACAAATGCGAAGCAAGGGCTTCACCACAAAAACTTTCAAAGCCTTGCCACAGCGGCAAAGAATGGGTGCAGAATCTGTCTCTACTTACGCAGTACCCTCTTCTCTGAGGAGTTGGAGTCTATAGAATATGAGGTCAGGTGGGACGACGCATGGGAGTTTCATTGGAAAATTGAATTCTACGATGCTGTCAGTGGGCCATCAATCAATCTTGACAAATCCCCGAGTTACTGGAACTGGTTCGTGTTTGTCGATGTGTTTTCTTTACGAAAACCTCCAGCCGGTTATGAGGACTTTCTCGCCCTTGTCGCTGCAGATCAAATCTCGGAGCCCACGCGAGTCCGAATGAAATTTTCGCCGTTGCGGGAAATTCCTGATAACACCGGCCACCAGGATGTTGCACTTCTGGCTAAGAAGTGGCTTCAGACCTGCAAAGATCATCACGATTGCGGATCTGCTTCGGAGGACGGCTGGTATCCTAAGCGGCTCATTCATGTTGGCGATGAACAACAGTCCCCAAGACTGATCGTTTCCGAGAATGAGAGACCAGAAGGCTGTTATGCGGCATTGAGTCATTGTTGGGGAGAAGACCCAGAGTTCCTCATGTTAACGTCCGACAATTTATCTGACTTCTGCATTGAGATTCAGCTACAGAACCTTCCAGCCAGTTTCAGAGATGCAGTAATGACCTGTCGTCGAATTGGCATTCCATATATCTGGATCGACTCACTTTGCATCCTACAGTCTGGTCTTGGTTCTCATGAAGATTGGCTCTCGCACTCAGAGGATATGCATCTAGTTTATAGCAACTGCGCCTTGAATATCTCCATCGATGTGTCCGAGAACCCCCACGGAGGTGCTTTTAGGTCGAGGAATCCCATGTATCTACAAGACTGCTATGTCTGGACTCCGTTTCGCACGCCGCCAGAACCTTCGCGCGAAAGCGAGCACGAAATAGATGATAGCAAAGAAAGGTCAGATCTCTGGAACATTTGCGCAATATTCACCTCCGACGACTTTTCTTGGGCAAGAATAGATCTCCCGCTTAGTTACAGGGCATGGGTATTCCAGGAGAGACTCCTTTCACCCAGGACCTTACACTTTATTTCAGACCGTATTTCCTGGGAGTGCGATGGAAGCCGCAAGACAAGCTCGTTGCTTTCGCCGCCGTCGCCCGACACTGTATTCCATGGTTTGGTAGCGACTACTGTGCCGGAATCTTTCGCAGCACCATGCCGCAAGGTCTTCTTTGGGAGATGGCTCCCCTTGGACGATTAGGAAGGTCGAAGGTTTACCGCGCGCCGTCTTGGAGTTGGGCCAGCTTGGATTGCCGTGTGAAGTTTGATATCTTAGACAGTGAAGGAACTGTTCTGGCCGTTGTAGACGATGTTACGGTGGAATCGGTTGACCCAAACAATCGATTCGGTCAAGTAAAGTCTGCTTCTTTAACATTGCCAGGACCTCTGGTAGCATCTGATTCACTCGTCCTCAAGGACACCAACGACGAAGAGTTCGTGGCCGAAGGTAGATTTGGTCGTGAAAGCTACCAAGACATACAAACTATACTCGGGCACAGTTTCGGTATCACCGCCGATACTGTGGCCTTTTGGCAGGATGGTGAAAGGAAGGGTTGGCTGATCTCCCAAAAGAACATGTATCTCCTTGCTGTCTTGGAGATATCGAAGGAGCCTCACACGCATGGTCTTTTGGTGCAGAAGAATGATGATGGGACCTTCACCAGAGCTGGAAGCTGGGAGGCAGGGCCAGGGTTTGTATCGAAGCATGCAGATGGGACATGTCGGTTCATATTAGAAACGATTACGATAGTTTGAACATGGATATCTTGGTGAGCTCGGGCTATGGCATTACAGGGGTGACATACCGGGCTGCTTGTTTGACATACTACTGAGTACAGTACTCCGTGATGTACCATAATAGCCGGGCAAGCGACTTGGCAAGGGATGATCAAGCTAGGTCCCTAGCAAATAATGGGTCGACATTTAACGGGGAAGAGTGTCGTGCGTATGAAACGTTAAGGGTCAGCCAACAGACCAATCGGTTGCTGTCAATACTCCCGAGCCCAGTCATTCAGCGGATCTGTGCAACCAACATAGTCTCAAAGAAGAAGGTTGCAATAATGGATTTTCACGAGAAGAGATGTTCTTCTCTGATCTGGTCAGATGAGGATTGCAAGAGATGAAGTGATTTGAGAAGTGATTGATCATCTATGATGATGAGGACGTTTCAATTAAGATTTCCAACGTTGCTTACAAGAACAAGCGCATACGCCGCACAGAGTTGGGTCAAGAGACCCCTGTCCGCGGATTATCCACGGCGGCAATTACATGCGGATGGTGACAAGGTGACAATGCGACGTAGAATGCAGCATCCTGGCATCCATGGTTGAGTGATTGGCCCGGGAAAATCATGCGGCAATGGCAGGGAATAGCCGGCGTAACCTGATCCTTTTGCTGTTGTCAATTTCTTCTTCCCCTCAATTGCAAACTTAATTTCATGAGACGCAGCAATAATGGCTTCACCAAAAACTGACAGCGCAGGCGGCAGCCCTCGCGATGGCGTAACCAAGCAGAATATCTCAGCCGGCAGTTCTCCTGCTGGAGATCCCATTATCGCACAGGTACCCAGCGCAAAAGAGCAATTCGCCAGGTCTCATAGTAACGTGTTTATTAGGATGAAAATGAAGGAGATGCCACCGACTCAGCATTTGGAGATGATGCGTCAGTGTCGTCCGGGACCAAAGGAAACTCCAACTAACCATTGCCTACAGAGAAAGTTCGACAGCGTCCATCTCATCGAGCATCCTCGAATACCGTAAATTTCAAGGACGAACCTTTCACAGCGAGAGGTATAATACGGAGTACTTTACACCGAACGATGAGCAGCAGAGAGATTCAATTGATATCACGTAAGATCATCATCATATTCGCGGAAAGTACTGACATGAAAAGGCACCATGTTCTAACGCTGCTCCTTGATGGAAAGTTGACACTTGTCCCTTTGAAAGATGATATTCAGGTTGGTGGTCCCTCTGGTATCGAATCGTCTCCGGAGGCACTGACAAACGAAAGCGAGTTCTTGACGTCGGCACTGGAACTGGTATGTAACAAACCCCAACTTAACCACATGAAAACTGACTGTGTGAAGGAATCTGGGCAATGTACTCACCTCTCAAACTCCCTGGGAGGATACTCATCCGATACTAACTGGTGCAGTGACTTTGCCGATGAGCACCCTAACGTCGAGGTCATCGGAACAGACCTCTCTCCCATCCAACCAAGCTGGGTCCCACCAAACGTAAAGTTCGAGCTTGAAGACGCGACAAAAGACTGGAGCTGGCCTGAGAATCACTTCGATCTCGTGCATGTCCGTTTTCTCATGGGTGCGATAGTAGACTGGGGAACCCTGTTTAAAGAAGCTACTCATTGTTGTAAACCAGGTGGCTTTGTTGAGTCTGGGGAGATCAACCCAACTTTCTACTCAGATGATGGTAGCATCGACGACGTGGAGGCTCTACAGACCTGGAATCGATTGGTGATTGAGAGTGGTAAGGGCTTTGGAAGAAGTTTTACTAATATCGAGAACGACGTTCAGCTATTTCGTGATGCTGGTTTGGTAGACGTGCAGAGCTTTGACTTCAAGGTACCTGACCATCTAGACCACAGGCAAGACTTCAAGCTAACATTATGCAGGTCCCCATCGGTGGATGGCCCAAAGACGAGAAAATGAGAAAGGTTGGCCAATTCCTCCGCGCTTCCATAGAGAATGACCTCGAAGGTAAGCCAACGTCCTTTGAACTTGTGATCTAAAAGCACTGAATACTCAAAGGATATACGATGATGGTTTGGCACCAGATCATGAACTGGCCCGAAGATGAATATCAGGTATTCTTGATGAACATGAGAAAGGCGTTCAAGGATAAGAGAATTCATGGATACATGCGCGTTCGATATGTTCATGGTCGAAAGCCAGATGCGGAGAAATAGGTCTAGACTATGTGATAGTGTCTCACTACAGGACTTGAGTCCTAGATGAAGAGTACTAGCAAGATAAGAGTGCGTGCCCGGGATTCAGGTAACCGACAACTTTCATTTCCTCTTCTCGCTTCTAGGATTAAAGCGGCCTAAGGGAGCAAGAAAACACATAAACCAAATTTAGGATAATGAACTAAATTGTATAAAAGGTATCCTAAACTTATCCTAAATTTATATTAAATTACCTAAATCTTTTTATTTCTTAGGCTCAAGCCTGCATACCATGCGTAGATGACGTTGAGAAAATAAGCTTGTTGTATCTAGCTTCCTTTAAAAGCGGTTGTTCGAAACATGGAGCCTACTCTCAGCTCACTTCGATTCCGTTGGTCTCATTCCCAACTTCGAGACCCAGTCTCAGGGGGAGCGAAAAGGCAGCCTGAGCACAACCCCCGGGATTTTAAATCTTTCATACAACCTCAATAACATCTTTCCCTAATGAGATTGGTTACTCTCGTGTGAATGGAGTCTTATTTAGCTGTCTGAGCTATCTAGGGTTACCACCCTTCACTCTCTCAAGACTACTAGCAACGATGCGTTATGGAAGGCTGTGCGTACATACGCGGACAGCACAGGTGTATCTTATGAAGAGAGGTCGCATTCATGGCTGATGTTCAAGGTTGGATATGTATACCCCGCTGTAAGTAGCGCCTGGAGCTCTTTTTTATCCAAGGTTAAGAACCCTTAGGTCTGTTTCCCTCATTCCCCGTTTGAGGTTCAGCTCTATATCGGAATATACTCATGGCTCGGCCTTCTACTCGATGACCAAGCTGCGGAGTATCTCGAAGAGTTCTCAATATTTCATGAACGTTTCTGCCCGGATGAAAAACAACTCATACCCCTTCTAAAAGCTTGGGCGGATCTCATGAAACTAACCTTCAAGTATTGGGATCCACTTGTGGCCAACTTCATCGCCACCGCGTCTCTCAACTTCCTTAACTCTAATGCTCTTGAGGCCCGAAAGGAATGTCATCAGATACAATGCACAAAGGCAAGTCACAGTTGGGAATGGTTCCTTCGAGAGAAAGACGGTGTAAGAGAAGCATATGCATGGTTTACATTCCCGAAGGCACTTTGCCCTGACATCTCACTTTTTCTTGAGGTGGTTCATCTCTATATGGATCGGGCTTACAAATGAGGTACTATCGTAAGTCTACTGTCACTGGTGTATCAGTGTTCATATCGAGGTTGATTGATTGCAGTTTCTACAAGAGGAAATGGCTGGCGAGACTCATTATTACATCCATAACAGAGCATTGTATGAAGACAAGGACCCCCATTCCGTCTTCGTAGAGATCTCATATGAAATAACGACTAAAGCCCAGCAAAGTAAGTGCATACAAGTCCGCATTTCCACACTGACTAACCGTTCTTGTAGTGCGACTCATACTGAAAGGTCGAGAACCATACCTCAAGCTATTAAACTCTCACCTCCTCGGATACATTGCATTTCATAAGCTGCACAGTCGTTACAGACTATGGGAAGTTGGCATAGGAGAAGATGCCACGGACCGAACTGTTCTGGGGTCTTGATTGGCACATTATTCGTTTTGCAGGAACATATATAAAACTTCAATTTCAATTTAGGCCATACTGTCGACATATTTCCAAAATGAGGATCCAAACTCGATCAATTGTTGAACTTTCCCGACTCCAGATCTTCAGCCTTCTCAAAATACTTATCATAACCCTCATCAACCTCTGATTCAGGGCTTGAAGCTGGAGGGGGCGTAGCCTGCCCGGACGTGCTTGTAGTCTCAGACGCGAAATTTTCTATTATATGTATTAGTTATGCAAATTTCATTCTCACCCTTTCGATTCTTCGTCTTATTAAACTCACGCTGACGTGCACCAACTTCCTCTAGTCCGTCTTTGGCTCCCTTCACATTGGATGATTGACGGTCTCTTCCGTTGCAGGTCGGTGTTTGAGTGCCATCTTCGACATTGTTAGATTGAATCGTATACCCAACTCGCTGACTCACCATAATAAGGCCGGCTCTCTTCTTCCTGGTTTGGACTAATGGGCCCGGGGCCTTTGGCATCCAGAGTATGGAAAGAAGCTGCTGCACTGAGATCGCGGCTGCGAGATCGCGCAGACCTCAGTCGAACTCGGTCGATTAGAGATAAAAGTCCGTTTTGTTGTGTTTGGCGTTCAAGTATGCTTTGCATCTCGAGCTCCAAAGCCAGTCTCTCCAGAATGGCCTTTCCTTCTACCGCCAACTGTTGCGAGAGCTTCTTTGAGGCCGCCAGATCTTTTCTGCAGGTTTCCAGGTCTTGGCCAAGCTTGGCAGAGACATTTTGGGGGTCTTGAAGACGAGCGTCTTGTAGAGACGATGGGCTTCCACCACCAGCCTCCCAGGACTCATGAGTGGTCTTGGCGAAGCTTTCCTTAGCCATCTTCTCATTAACATCCCTCTCAATAGTCGATTGATATATTGGAGAGTTTTCCTTGTCGAAAGTCTGTAGTATTGTCAAAAGTTCATGCTCTTCCTCCGCGAGCTGACTTGTATCCAAGTCCTTCTCATCACCCAGGTCAGTCTCTTTGGCATTGTCTTGAGTAAATCTAATGCCTTTAAACCGAAGAAAGCATTGAACTAGCACCATAGCAACATTCTCTGGAACGCCAAGCTGGTTCATCATTTCTTTTTTGCACCCCTTCGGGGGAGATGCTGACAATCTTACGACGCATGATACGAAGTTTGCCGCGATAGTCGGATACAAATTGAGTGGTAGTTCTGTGTCGTTCAGTGTCCGAGTGATCAATACTAGATTCAGTTTCCCTTCCAGTCTTCTCATCTCAGAAGATGCCAAGAGCTGTAGACAAGAGAGATCCAGATCAATAGCGGCAGCATGAGCCTCAAACGCAATCGCAAGCTCTGAGCAGTTTCTTTCATCTTCCGTTTCCCCTTCGGGCTTGAGGCACTGATATTTATCGGTTATCAGATAGTGAATGATTATGTGCCCAACTGAGAATGGGTACTCTTCAATATCGACAGTCTCGAGTGGTTTAGAGAAGATGTGTTTCTTGTCCAGTCGTGCAGCAAGTTTTGGGCATTTTTTGAGGATCGTTCTAGGGATCATAAGGGGCCCTTGGGACCGAAAGAGGATGTGACAAACGTCCCCGGTGTACTGCCTTGACCCTGTGTTAGTCTCTCAGATGTTTTGTTCGTAGGTCAGGACACGTACGACTTTTCTGGGAACTTCATATCGCCTCGATCCATGACCTTAAACTGTTTGATTCCAGATGATGTAGATAGATTCCAAAGAAAGAAGAAGAGGGGTAAAAGAGGGTTTCTCTTCTGGTGAAAGTTCTTGTCATGTTGGTGGTGTCTATGACGCATCCTGGTAGGCCTCCCGCATCACCCAATACTAACTCCATCAGTAGATAGGTCCAGTGGCGCCTAAACTGTCCAGCAATTTGAAATACATTTTAAGCCCTTGTATTATGGACAAATAAGCGATTCTGAAGTGCATAGTGCCAACTGGACCACTGCTGTGGTCGGACTTCTGCCCACCGAGATCGAAGTCTCCAACTTGACATATCAGCAAATTGGGAGCTTTGAATATGCCGTGCCTTGACCTCGACACTCCCCACATGGCATGTAAAGCAGGCTTGGTAAAGGATATTTGATAGCTCTTCACTGAGAGAATGTTGTTTCTTTAGTAAACGCTTCCGGTATCGCATTCCACAATGTTTAATGATGGGCACCAAGGTCAAGCGATATATTGTATTTTCCAATCTATAGCCGAACTGGCGGATAAGGCGGGTATCTCTGTCCACTGCACCAAGCTTCGATATTAATAGACTATCCTAGAGCATAAGTATTTGACGTCAGGATCCCTTGACCAACATATACAACGCCCGTCACAGCTCAAAAACCTAGACTACTCATAGCGCCATTACCAACGGTTGTACGAGTGGAGGAAATTCATCGTGTTTACGTTAAGCGAATGCTCCATGTTTGGTTTCGTAGTAGGTAGAGTCTCCGACTCAACAAGGACTCCCTCATCGTCAGAATCAACGACGGTAGACTCTGCCTGTTCACTCTCTGACCTTTCAGATTTCTCGGTCTCGGACTTGGGTACCTCCCAGTCAACAGCCGACGATCTCTCAACCGCTAAACGATTAGTTAGCTGCAATCAACGCATTGGATTATGTATTCACTTACCGACAAAGTTCTTCATGCTTGCGATGCGACTCGCAAGTTCAGGGCTAGGGCCGCAGTGAGCTCTCACCCTTGAAGGCCCAGATTGAGCTCCCTCTTGCCCGTTTGCAGCACGAGACTCGTGGTGAGGAATTGTCTTTTCGCGGAGCTTCCAAACATATGTTTCCGGTTTAGAAACGGCTGGTCCTTTGCCTTTGTCATCTGGCTGCGGGTTCTTCGGGGCCTCCTGAGGTTGCTGAGTCCGACGCTGCCATGGGAATGGTGCCGGTTCGGGCTCCGCAGTGACAGCATCCTGCGAAGGAGGTTTTGTTCTCGTAGGAATGTCTTGTGTTTCATTTCCGGGCTCGGCCTTTGCTTTGGGTTCACTAGCTAGCTTATCCCGGGCATTTATGAGCAACTTTCGAACAAGTATATCCGTAATACTGTTTGAAGTAGTCTGGCTCAGGAAGTCAGATGCACCTTCACTGTAGGGGTCCGAAAGCACCTTTTCGAGGTGAAGTGAGACATGCTGCGCAAGTTCGGGGAATTTTTTGGTATCAATGTTCATCTTTCCCAAGGTGGCGACGAGATCCAAGAAATCCATTTCACGGCAGACACGCATGTAATGCCTCTTTGCCAGGTCTGCCAAAGCAGGCAGTCTCATCTTTCTAGCGGCTTCAATGACTGAATTCGATACCTTGAGCTCATAGCCCTTCGCTGTATCGCCACAGATACCCCAGGGTTTGATACAGTTATACTGCTTCGTGTAGAAGAAATGGATGATTACGTGGGCTGTGTCATTTCCAATGTTCTGCATATCCAAGATCGGCGAAGGTGACTTGGATCCAAGTTCTTCTGTAATCTCGCTCGATAGAGCATGGCCTGGGATGACTCCTCTGTGGACCCACGTGATCGTATTTCCCTTTAACAGGACCTTGACAAAGGTGTCTGCGTAGGGTCTACATGTTTGTTAGCTTAGAAGGATGCATGTTAGTCTGCTGTACTTACGACGTGATGAAATGAGCTGGCAGACTCTGAGACATGGTGATTGGACCTTGGGATATGGCGCTCGAGCTATTACCCATCGAACAAGGTAAGGAAAAGAAGAAGAATATGAAAGAAGAGGTTTGAGGGGGCACTGACGCGGGTGATTTGTGGAATATATATGTGTGATAAGATTTCCCGCATCATAGAAACTCAAGACACCACCCACGCAATAGAAAGTATCTCTCCCTCAAAATGATTTGAACATCCAATCATGTAGTGGGCTTGGTGATATGACTTTGACACTCACCTCTAGTGAACTCTGTGGCTCAAAGACCTTCACCCCCCGAAGCCACGCATGTATATTCGACGCTCAAACGCATACAGAATGCTCTGAGCTTTCCAGCAGATTCGATTTGTTGCGGGGTCAAAAGTATGTTTGTCTCGTGCCCATTGTGCTGGGGCGTCAAACTTTACCACCTCCTGAAAGAAGATTCTGAAGTTTATCAGGAGCCACAGGTTTCAAGTACGAATAGATCTCACTGATGATAACTAAGCTTTACGTTTATCTTTCCATTTTCGTCTCAAAGACGTTCAGTGACAGTGACATTTGGTACAAAGATGGAAATAGGCTTCGCTGCGGTTCTTCGTCCTACATCACTCAATCAGTCACAGAATGTCCTGGTGCATGAAGACTTATGCTTAGGGTTTCCCTCCACTTTAGTGTTCATGATCATTCTTCAAATTCGAGGCTTACTTACCTATGACGCCAAGTTGTAGTTCAATCTGTCCAAGACTTGTGCGTTTTATTTTCTGGCCCATCACTGTTGTCACAGGCAATCTGCGACCTCATGGTCAACAGTATATCATTTTCTCATTCATCACCTATGTTCGCAGCATAAAGCTTAACTATATAGGTGGCAGTCATTCATACAGGATCTACAGCTACCAGATCCACCAGCATAAACCATGCGGGGATCTAACAGAAAGTCGTGAAAAGATCAAAGGGAATCCCCCAGACTATCCTCCTCGTTGCATCGTAGGTTCCGATTCCATCTCTCCCTTTAATCCAACTCAATCTGTATATCCGTTTTTTCCAATCACAAGTCTTAACCAAATCTCGAGGCTTAAGTCTAGGAGCCATAGTCGTATTCAACATCCCAATCCATGGGTCCTACTTGAACAGGGTTGCCTTCCAAGGTATTCGAAGAAGATCTCGAGGATCGCCCAGGTGTGTCAAGGGAGGTCATCTTGTATTCGGGTACATTCCCCTCGGATCCAGTTGGTGTCAGCTCTGGGTAACCCACAGCTTTCGTTGTCCGTTCCACTTGAATCTCTGGTCTTGTTACCCTGCCAGAGTAAGGGGTGCTTCCATAACTCAAAGTCGTTGATGCATCTCTGGATAGCGGGGGAGGCATAGGTAGATTACATCTAACCAAAGTAGGAAGCGGCTGAGCATAAGACATGGCGAGAACATCGAAAGTTGGTTCGCGCGCGGCTGCTCGCTCAAATGGCGGTTCGGGAGAGTTAGTTTTCTCCGTTCTGGTCGCCTGCTTGGCAGCGGCACCGAAGAATCGAATATCAACTGACTTTCTCACTCCCGTAATTTCACCATTCGGGTTGATCCACCGCGTATCGGGGACCTTGGGCTCATCCCAACCAATATCAGAAGCAGCCGTTGTCTCATCGAGCTTCCTTGTAGACACCTCGTCCGACGTGGAGTTCCGTTCACCCAACTTGCACCCAGATTCGCTAATCTCTATGAGTGCTTTCAAGAGTATCTGGGCGACTGAGAGTGATGGCTTGGCCTGTAGTTCGGCCAATGCCCTTTGGCTGCCTCCCTGATAGTAATCCAAAGCGGAACCAACCAGTCGCTTCTCCAAGTACACGGAAAGACTTGGGAACAAGTCAGACTGGTAGTTCAACTCTTCAAGGAGGTTGGTTAGTTCCATAAGGCCCATCTGTTGAGCCTTGCGGAAGATCTCTTTCGCGGACTCCGACTTGAGGTCCTCCATGTCGAACTTGTTTGCAAGATTATGTAGGTGAAAAATGTCTTTAAAGTACCCTTCTTGCGTTCTCTCGGAATGATAGCCCCGGAGGCGATTAAACGTCCCAAATGACAGATACTCCCACAGTATGTGTCCGGAACCTTGAGGCAGTTTGTGCAAATTGAGGTAGGCATGAGGTCCGTTATGGTAGGAGGGATATGGATACGATGGCGGAGCATGATAGAGCTGCATGTAAAGCTTCGGGTATTTCTGGAGCTTCGTCACGTCGACGTGAAAGACCTTTTTTTCCTGAACTTCGATGGCGACTAGGTAGCCTTGACTGCCCGGCAAGCCTGCAGGCATTGGCGTGTTCATGATGTTCACGATCAAAAAGAATTGGTGTGTTTGTTTACTGGGTGAGTTTTTTAGCGTAGTACGCTCAAGTTTTGATATGGGTGAGAAGAGAAGAGAAGGACCTAGCTGCTGCACGGGGCAATTCATTGAATAAATACCTCGATGACGATGTTTCGACTCACAGCTTGACTTTGTCTTAAAGTTCAGAGACGCCATTGGCCACTTTTCTTATTATTACGCGGCCTTTAGGGAGCAAGAAAATACCAAACTTTAATGCAAGGTATTAAAATAAACTTAGAAAAGAGTCTCCTAAGCTTTAGCTAAATTTACCTAATAATTTTATCGCTTAGGGTCAAGGTCTTGAGTTTTCTGTCCTCCCTTAGGCGACCTCTAGCTCATAAAGACTGTTTGCTTGAGGAGGATAAATCACTGACAGCCTCGCATTGAATGACTTGACTCCGAATTTGACTGTGAAAAAGTTTATCTGTTCGAACTTGGGGAACCCTCCAGGCTCCAGCCCTCCAGCCACTGGAGTCAAAGTGAGCCTATGAGAGTGGAAATGAGGCGGTGGCCAATAACGCCGAAACCGCGCAATTATGGTACATGCATGGCACCGCATGCTCTAATGAGTCACAGGTTGAATTGAGGCAATAGACATGAATCATCATTTTCTCTGGTATCCTCTCGTTTACTGAAAACCTACTTCCGCACAAACATTTATCTGCCGCGCTACTTTGCGATAAGCCACTCCATGCTCGCTGCAGTCACTCTAGAGGGGCTATTCTGAAACTCATTCCTGAGTTAGTGCCGGTCTCGCATTTCTGTGTGCAAACAGATTCTTTTGCTGTTTGAGTGGTGACCTGTGGAGGACGACGATCACGTGCCTTAGCAGCTGGGAAATCCACTGGATGAGTAATTGAGCTAACGTCACTACCACACCCTCGGCAGCACAATGGAGCATTGATTAATTTACGACTGCATAATATCGTTGGTTCTCTTTAATTGGGTTTATTGTTACAATTTCTTATTTGTTGTGTTTTGACATGAAGTGTCGCTCTCGCTGAATGAAGTCAGACTTCATCCTAATCACGTGCCTTTGCTTGGGCGAACTCAGCCCAGTTTTTGTTCCCTGCATCATCGAAATCAACCATCAAACAGATCAGATTCACTACAATCACGATAGCAAGCGAGCTATGAGCGAGGGCATATTCCATGTATTCCGAGCTGGCCTATAATGCCCTTCATGGCTGTCTGCTACTGATGTCTATATGAAACCCCATTGATCTCGAGTCTACCATTCCTTCCGCAATCCTGCGTTGCCTGAAAGCTCTATTACCAGTTGACGGCCGCTTCATCCTCTGGCGAGTTCTGACTGGAGCCAGTTGTGAGCTGATTAATCCAAGCTTGATGTCTGTCAGTCAGACTGTCGCACTGGTCGTGTCGCTCGAAGGCCTTGGGCTTGTCTGTCGATCTGGGTCTCCCTTGTCTTCAACTCTCCATTATGCCAGCTTGACTTGAAACCCTTTCTCCGTCAACTTCTCATTGATGTCCTTCAGTAACCAGTCAATCGGAGTAGCATAGGAAATATCCGCATCTTCCTCTTTTGCTAGCTGTGCTGGTTTTCCACTTGTCAACATTCCACCAATTCGACCGTACATGTCCAGGATACACGATCCCGAATCTCCATCAGTAGAGAAAGGTTGACGGCGTTGGCCTCTCTTTTTATGCCCAAGAATACACCATTCTTCAGAGATAAACTCTTGCCCTAGGATTGGCATTCGAGTTACTGACTTGACCTGGTTCGCAACGCCAAAGGTGAGGCCTGTACCTCGACCAAACTTTGCCACAACCATAGCGCGCTCATTCTCCAGACTTCGGGAAGCTTCATTCGGCAATCTCATCTCAAACTCATGTACAGTTCTAGTGAGATCGTAGGTGTTTGTGTGATGAAATGGAAGCCGTTTCTCAACGCGTTCTTGGTCTTCGTTATCAAGCTCTTCATAGAGGACTTTCCACAGTTCTATACCTGCACGGGGACCTGCCACGACCATGTTTCTTATCTCGCTGAAGACAGTCTCATGCTTATCTTGGTGTAGTTCAACCAAGGCCCAATCCCTTAGACGACTGGCGCCTGTTATTGAGGTACCAAGGCTGTACTTGGGAGAGTACAAGACGTGTCCAATGATGCGCGATTTCTCTTCCTGAAGCTTTTCAAATCTTTCTTTTGCTTCTTTGGCGTTCTCTAGATCCTCCCTGTGAGCTGGCGTAGCTTGATCTCCAAGGTCCTGGAGAAAGGTAATATAGTTTGAGACTTGACGAACGAGATATTTGTAGGTTCCTTGCCCGGGCTGTATGACCATATTTGGTGCATTAGGGTTATGGTTGTAATCGATATTTGGAAAGCTCTCATCGAATAGCACATGGCGGCAGGTGACAAAGAGAAGTCTGTCGGTATCCTTAATGCGGATATAAAATCCTTTCGTGCCTTCGTAATAAGGAGTCGTCTCATTCGCAATGCAAGCTCCAACAAACTCGGAAAGCTGTGCGTCCCTTTGGGTCTCATCTGTGATGGGATGGGACGTTAACTTGGGAGGGTTAAACATGGTAACATAAGATTCCATCATTTCAACTTCCATGTCATGAATACCGTAACCCTGAAGAATCTTTCGGCAGTCCAGTGTAACCTGCAGTCCCAACTTTTCATCACCAGAGCCTGGCTGGACAGAGATAAGAAGCTTTGGGAACATTTCGCCTGGCTCACTCAGGCTTCCAGCGCGTCGACAGTATCCGAGTCTGAGGATGTCGATCGCTGTCCAGTTGATGTCTTTCAGTGCATTTATGACAGCCGATCGCAGTTTGCAACTCGGGTGGTCCCATAGAGAAACAATTGCGTGTTCCCCAATCGGATCAAGCGTCTTGCCCACCTCCCAGCCCATATCATAGAAACGACTCCAAGGCTGATTTGGGTTAGATCTAGCGATAAGTTTGGGACGGCTGTAAAGCCCGGTGTAGTATCCATTCGCTTCTTCTTCGGTGATTTGTGTCTCGGCCATGGTAGAACTGGGCTCAGCATCCGCTTCTTCTTCAGTGTAAAGTGTCGCGGGGTACGGCAAAAGCGGTAGGAGATAGGGTTCGTCCTCAGACTCTGGCGGATAGCCCGACATGATGGCTGTATTTATATGTGAAGTGGCAAATGATTAAACTCAACGTTTGTGATGTCCGCAAAAGTTTGATGTGAAAGTTTAGTTGTGGAGGCTGTGTTGTGACACTTGTTATTGGAGAAGGACACCAAACTATGCCAAAACGGAAGGTACCTTCACCTCAAGTAAGGTAGGTATCATCTTGTACCGAGTTCTGTGGGTTGCTGAAAGGGTTAAAAAACGCACCGGCGAAGAAGTCTGTGATAGAAGAGAGAAGAGATGCAGGAGTAAGAGAGATAGATCTCGGAAGACTTTACTTGCGAGATGTTTGACGTTGGTGTTAGCGCTGGTGGAGCTCGTGAATCACACTCGGTTTCGCAAGCCTGCTTAACTCTGCTTGGCGGTGTTGCTGTCATAATAAGCGGTTGCTGATTCGCAATGACGTGGTGCGTGGGTCTTATTAACTGTTCGACTACTCGTTTTGCTGGCTTTAGCATTGTGAAGCATTCCGAGTTATTTATCGCGATCATTCTACAATCATTTTCACATCCCATATAACAAACATCTCAGACAAATTAATCATGTGTATCATTATCATCATATCTGACTTGATAGTAAAACGGAAATCCAATAACTCTCACGCTAGTGGGTATATAAAAATGTGTATCTCGTAAATCGTCTTCCAAGAGGCAATAGCCATATCCTGAATTGATGTAGAATATTTCCAACAGTCTATGTTGAAAGATAAGTATTGTTTTTTTATGTGTGTGATGCATCATCCTGAAGCACTGGGCTGACTTGTTGTAATTTTGTGACCGAGTTGCTGCATGGAGCATCTCTGATGTGGGGGTGAAGAAAGGTAGAAATGTCTGAAGATGTCGACTCTTGTGTCGCCTCTGGTTCCAAATCTAAGGACTGCTAGACTGAGTCGTGGTGTGTATGCGTACGTGATGCAGGAGTCGAGCTAGAAGAAGGTATGAGTGTTGCCCGATGTAGACGCCCATCCTATACCCCTTGTCTCACTCCCAAATGTGAGAAGGGGCGGGGACAGTTCCAGCTGCATGTGCTCTCGTCTGGAATGAGATGCTGAGCTTCATGTTTGAAGGAGCTTGTTGTCCTTTTATCATCTTCAAGATGATCTGATGAAATAGAATGAATAGTAAAAAAGTAGTTGTCCCTCTCGGCCGGCTTCTCCTTATTGCGGGTGCCGATCTTCTGACTACTGTTGAAGTTTCTGACCATGGCGCGCATGACTTTTCCACATTTGAGCTTGGCATCTGGGATCCAGTGATTGAATGGATTCGGAGCGTGCTCCACGGCATCGTCATCGTCATCGAAGGGGTCAATAGCTTCAGGAGCCCCATACTCAATTTCTCGTGTGAGTTGTCTGATTTCTTGTAGAAGCGGCAGACATTCTTGCAATCCCGGCATAAGGGTTGGAAGGGTCTCACGAATCAGATACCAGCCTCGTTCCAGACCTAAACCGTGGGCTTTCCGCATCAACTGGATCGTCGCCCACAGCCAACCCACTGTTTTGGGAGGTTGCACGAGCAAGAGAAGATCTGTCGCCCCTTGTCTTGTCACGGTCTGCAGGAGCCTCTCAGTTAAATAGTCGATTCCGTGGATGATGCCGGTGATATGCTCCATCACCAAGGGAGTATCAACTGTCGCCACCAGTGCCGGAACAGGATGCAGGAGCTCAGCCAACTTGACAGCATGGCCGCTGGCTAGGACAACTAGACCATCGATGTTATACATGCATCCGATAGCCCAGGCCTTGAGTGCAATCTTGTACTCTCTCAAAGCCATATCCTCGTCTTCCTCTGCGGTCTCGTAGTCGACTTCATAAGTGTGTGACATTATATACTCCACAAAGACGCGACCAGATGGCCCGTCTACATCTTTCATCTCGTATTCGTCCTTGTCCTTGAATAGTAGACTAAGGGTTCCAGTATTTGTGATTTTTGTGATAGGGACATTGAGCGTCAGATTTTTGAAACGAAACTGGCACCATTTACCCAGCCGTTGTGCGAGAGAAACCATGGTGGCGAATGAAAAGAAAGGTCAAAATGTGAGACAACAGAATGGTGAGAGAACTTTGCAGGGAGAGAATTTTGCGGTTCTGCAAAAGGGGAAGACGCGTACTTAAATGGAGGACGGAACAGAGTTGAAGAACCCACATTAGTCACGTTGCAGGGCCCATGTTCACTCGATCTGCCGTGAGTTCGTGAAATTGTGCACGTGAACGGCTTGGTTTGCCATGACTCACTGGAATATAGCTCAAGTGTAATAGACTTCAGGCTACCAATCTATCATTGGCTGCGAAATAAGCTTCACATCGCTTTCCAATACTTAGTATAGCTTTTTACTTTCAAACATCATTAGCTAAGAGTCAAACGAGACATCACAGGAGTGAGTTTCTTTGGACACGCAAGGATGCACACATCATCACACAGATATCTCTTGATGAACCGAAATTGAAGCCTACGGATAAAAGTTTTATGGTCCAGACTATAGATGACCGCTTTTCAGGCTCTTCTTGATGTAAATTATGATGATTTGACTTCTCGTACTCTTCTTGCACTTTAGCCTGACAGTATGGCGAGTCGGACTTATGACGAGAACACCCAATCAATTGGACAGTGTGTGCACTCAGAAAAGGTGTAGATTAATCTTAAACGTGGTGACTTCTTACAACAAGCTGAATCGACAGGATCCTGGTGGCTTGGCCGCGAGCCACTGAACTACTGTCACGGCGACGCGCACTCTCCTCTTCGCTATGTGTTGACAAAAGGTTCACCCCACCGCCATCAGTTGCCATATATCCGTATCTTACCAGATATTACTAACATGCACCATGCACACTTGCTACAGCACTGGGCATAGATAACTACTTGGAGACCCAACCTTCCACCTCCTTAGGGGTCTCTGTTCTGCAGAAACTCCCACTTCGATGTCTGACTTACTCTTAAGCTTGCTTGCATCCCGTTATCTCAGCACTCATCTTGCTACAGACGAAACTGTCATATGGTATGGTCAAGTTCCAGTGGGAAATGGGCCGGGAGGTCACGCGTGATTTTCTATGATGCAAGCGGCTTTCATCTTCCCTCACCGTGGATCTGCTGACGCGTTGTTCCATTCGTTTCCACCTTCACTAGTCCTACGTGACTTCACACCTTGAACGCCTGATCACGGCAGCGGCTATCGCACAGCCAGACAGCTACTCAGCGATCCGCTATCAGGACAGGCAAGATATCCTCTCTCAGAAGCCAAAAGGCCAGCAACTTCTTGTGTTACCGCGGTCCTAATTCACGAAAAAGAATACTTGCTGAAACATTTCACCTGAGACTAAGCCATGGATATTTATAAAAAGGAACATTTCGGTTCAACATGACCATAAATAAGGAAAATAGTGTCTACAAATTTCATCTCGCATACAAAAGGATTCCTGTCAGACCCTCTCCATTGTTCTCCCTCACCCAGCCCTAGGTCAGCACGATTGCCTTTGCCGCCAATTGCAGATCAAGATGGCTTCCCTCGAATATCCTTGTGAAGTACGTGCTGTATTTGGTATTGTAGTCGAGCACATTCTCCTTTAAAGTTGGTGTTTCCGGCGCGAATAAGAGAAGAGGGAACAAGCAGGCTTTGATGATGTTTTTTTCACGATCTGCAAACATGCATCGCTCCATACGTGTATCATCAAAGGCTTCATCCGGTGCATAGTAGAAGAACTTCAGTCGCGTGGTGTTCGATGTGAGTTCGATCTTGAACTCCAGCGCCATTGTGAGAAACAAAGTGAAAACGTCACCTTGCCTTGACGCTTCTTCTTGGTCTTCAGCCTCGCCATTTGGAGAGACGAAGAAGAGATCCAAGTGTTTATGAAGGATAAGATCCAGTTCATCAACCTTTCTTTTGATGATTTCGGGCTCATGCTTCCTGATGAGATTTGTTAGAACATTGCTGTCTTCTTCATGAAGCTCAGTGGGACCCGCTAGATCATGGATTAGCCATGGCCTTCCTCAATGCTGCAAGCACTTACAGATATTAAGGATGAGCTCCCGATAGGCTTCCGCCACAGGATTAGGCGCTTGAATGAATGCTGGGAAGGCTGGCTCGAATACCATTTCGATAACTGCTGAACCTACTAGTCCTAGGAGCAACTTGTCTTTCGAAAGCTTGGACTCTCTGACTTGAGAAATGCAATCTTCCAGGTTTCTCTTAAAGGTAACAAGAGCCCAGGACTCGACGAGATCACTGCAAGAGGCTTGTTTGTCTGGGTGCTTCTGAGTCATGTCGGCATGCTTGGGAACACGCATTTTGCATATTGTAAAACGAGCTCGCGTATGCCCCGGAGATTTCTTTTGAGCTCATACCTGGATCGTTGGCGTTGAAGGTTCTGCTGCGTCCGGCCCTCACGTGTGTAGACTCCAGAAATTGCTGAAGTGTGTGCAACACGCGGGCGTCGGGTTTGTAATGTTGCTTGAGCTCTTTCTTGAGCCGCCCATTTTCGATCAGCGACGCAATTAATCGGGTTTCTATTTCCACTATTTCTCTTCTAGTGGGCGGTAGGGAATCGGCGAAGCCTTTCTCGACGGAAGCTTCACCCCTCTTTGGGGATGAGTTCTCGACAAGTTGGTTAATCGAGCCGAGGGGCGATGAAGCTTGAGATGACTGTTGCGCTGCTGTTATTTGACCGGGGTCTACAGAGGAGACTTGATCAACGAGGGCAGCGGTTGCAGCGCCTTCTTCGTCCGGCAATATCTGTGACCGCATGTTCATCAGCACGAGATGAGAGAAGAGTGGTATTATCGACTTGACGCGGCCATACTCACGGCTTTCAACTTCTCTGGAGAGTCCAAACGCGCATCGTCTGCAGACTGTCCAGCGCTGATGTCGGGTATACGGTTCAAGAACTGATCAACGTTCCTGGCGATCTCGTCTGGTAGGTTCAACGAATCGAGGCCAGATTCGAGCAAGTTGGCATAGTCATCATCGCCTTCCATCTGGCCATGCTGGCTCGATAGATGCTGCAGCTGTTTCTTCGCCTGGTCATTGGTGAAGGCTCGTTGGACAGTGTCTTGGAATTTGGGAAATGCCGTAGTCCAGAAATCAACGCCATTGCTAAAGCTCCATTGGAAGTGGGCTAGAAGCTGGCAGGTCTCGTCATGTTCCCACATTCTCTGCTGCCTTTGTTGCCTTCTACCAGGAACGCGCTTCTTGTCGGATCCCTTCCTTGGGGGGTTATCTGCGTACTGGACTGTCTTGGTTCTTTTTCTTAAGTTGTACGAGCTTTCGTTGGTTCTCTTTGGACTACGTGGGGTATTTGGATCCATCGTGATGAGTCTATCCAGCAACTTGTGAATTTGTAAAGTTGTAAAGGTGACGCTTGGGATAAGTCTTGTGAATGGTTTTTAGGCTTTGTTGATAATCGCGAGCTGTTGGTTCCTTTGTTTGACGAATGCCAGTGGCGTTTCTTTGTTTCACAGGCACCGGATATCTGCATATGTAATGGAACCACACTAGAGGAGCAACAGTGAATTGGCGGACCTAAACCTGCGGACACCCAAAACTCTGACAACAAAGAAAGGAGCAGACTGGGATTGTGCAAAGGTTCGAATGGGATAACATATGCCCTTGATGTTTCTTAACTATCGACAAATAAACAATCATATGTTTTCTGTTGGGTACAATCAAACTATAGAAATTCACAAAATTGACCACAGGTAGTTTTTCTTAACAGACAAACAATAATGCAAGCCATGTCACAGTTTGTTCCTTGCTTGTTTGGATTCCGTGGAGTCATCAGTGCACAAATTGTAGGACAATACCTCAAGCAGCATTTACTCCCTTGTCCCGTACAGAATAAGGCAGCCATGGCTGCCACCTACATGCCCTCCATGCTTATCTTTAAATGTCCTTCTTTTCTTCCTTTCTCTAAAACATTTCCTCCTTATCCCATATCATCACAATGCCTCTCTTTAAGACCCCGAGTAAACTTGTCGTTGCCGTTGACTTCGGCGAAACAAATTCTTCAGTCTCCTACGCCCTTCTCCCTAGAGGAATTCACCCAGAACGCCCTCATCTGGCCGTCAGGACAGTTCGGGCATACCCATATGAGATATCAATGCAAAGAGGGACTTCGATGTCCTTGGAAGTCCCAACGCTGATGCGATACCCCAACGACTGGGTTTTTCGACCTCTGGATGAGCTAAGGAGCGAACCACCAGGTACTATCCGTCCGGGGAATGACCGGGTACAATGGGGATTCCAAGTGCAGCATCATATGGCAAAGGTTATGTCACATTCTGACAACACACACTCTCTGCTGTACGGATTTAAGAATCTTATGAATCAATCAGAAAATCACGAAATTCAGAACCCCCAACTCGTCGAAACTCTCCTCCGACTATCCAAGAATGGTCCTTACTCAAGGCAGATCTCCCTTCACAAGATGGTGCTTTTGGTGACCATTGACTACCTAACAAACTTGCTCAGTCACGCTAAGTCTGAGATTACAGAGAGCACCATTATTACATCTACAGAGTTGGTCATTTGCGTCCCAGTGATTTGGAGACAAAGTGCACTGCGAGATATGCAAACATGTATCGCTATCGCCGCAAAGCGCGTCAATTTCCCAGGTGTTGACTTTGGCTACGACTGTGTCACTAGAGTGTTTATGATAACAGAGCCAGAAGCTGCAGCTACGTGGCTACTCTCTGGCCTTTCAATAATCGAGGTAACCAAATTCTTGGCTTGGAAATTTTGTCAACAAACTGACCAGTTATAGGAGGGAGACGTTTTCACGATCCTTGACGCAGGCGGAGGTACATGCGACGCCTTAAGTTATACTGTCACTCGCAATGTTCCTCTTCGGCTCGAGAGACAGCTGGCGCATCATAGCGGCAAGTAGCCTATACTGTACCTGTGGTGGGCTGTTCTGACTGAGTATTTTCTCTATGTGGTAACTGTGGTTCCGATGCACTGAACAATGGATTCCGGAAACTCCTAGAGAGTCTCCTTGCAAACCATGACTATTTGAATGAAGGTGGCGTAACTTTAGAAGGCCACATCCGCAAGTTGGCAGTCCATGACTTTGAGTACCTCGTCAAGCCTGGGTGGGTTGTCTCTCAGAAAAGCAAAGATTTGGAGTTCGAGGTCTTCGGGCTTCGGTCCGACCCCGGGAGTCGGAACCAGGCGAGAGACGATCAACCACCTTGCCCTAATCGACTGACAATACAGGCGTAAGTGCTTTACCGCTAGTCCAGTCACCAGATAAGTTTGGTCTGACCATCTTAATAGTGAGAGATTGAACAGCATCTACAGACATGTATGTGAAGAGGTGTCTATGCTTGTGACGAAGCAGCTACAAGCCACGGCACAACGTGGCCTGATACCCGACGTGAGTAGCGTTAATGTTTGCTGGGATGTGACTGAACTAAGAGAAACTAGCATGTCGTCTTGATGGGCGGCTTTGGGGAATCAAAGCCCTTACGAGCTCATCTCCGCAAGGCGCTGGCAAGCTTCAACGATGCACACGATTCCGATACTGCCTTATATGTCCCCGACGAGCGGGAGCGGTCAGATCCAACCCCCCACCCCCCCTCTTAATGGCCAGAAACTCATGATTAAGACAGGCTCACAACAATCGATGCTGTTTCCTCGGGGGGTGTTCTAAGAGCTCTGAACAAGCTCTACGGCCCTACTAGAATCGCAGGTTGCAGCTACGGTATCCGTTATGATGAGCCCTTTGAGCTTCCCAAGCATGCGGGACAGCCGAGTATCGAGGGCTTTGAGATGAAACAGGAGCTATTTGTACCAGCCATTCAATGGATTGCGAACAAGGCAAGCCTTTACTGTTTGCACCACAGAAGAGTTGGTCACTGACAAATACAACTAGGGTCAAGACATCCCGCCATCGTTCCAGACATCGGCATCGCGTTGCCAAATGTTCCCTTTCTGGAACGATGATGGTACAATCAAAGAGGGGCCCTTTATTTGCCAGGAGGAAATATGGGTTTCAGATGACACCTACCTAGACCACCATATTTATCTACACGAGCTTATCACTAAGGGTATGGCCCCTGAGACATGACCTACCTTAGTAGTCAGCTAGCCAGCCTCAATCAACCAACACTGACATTTCATCTTAGGTGCTCAGAAAGTTGGTGTTCTCAGGACAGATGTCGCGCACCTACTACGCCGGCCGTTGCTGTTTGCGAAAGGGGGAGTGCAGGACCCTAGTGACAATCGCCCCATGGATTTATACTGGAAGGTCCCTTATGAGTTGGTATTGACCATTGACGGCCTAAACATGAAATGTGAGTCTTTTCTTTTGTTACACTGTTCAACTTTCAAGCTGCCTTCCACGCCGAGATCCGCAAATTTGGCACCCTACGCCGCAGACACTAACCATCTACGATCAATAGGTGTTCAACTTTTCAACGGGCATCAGATTGGAGAACTGAAGGTGGGCATCGCGCCAGGATTCACACCAGGAGCCAACTGATCACGTCTTGGTCGAGGCAATCAAACAAACTTGTAACGAAGCACAGGATTTGACAGCCTTCGATCCGCTTATGGTACAGAGCTTTGGAAGACTTCATGATGCTTCTAGGGAAAGAAAGAGTTTTTGTTTTTTATTTATTTATCTTGGCATCATTTTACATGTTTTACATTATTCTTCCCATTTTCTCAGATCTAATCAGTTATCCTCCAACTTCTCAAGCGTAGCGCTCCGCTGCAGGCTGAGTTGCTGCCATAGGTTCCTTGCCATTTCCCATTTGTGGTGGTGCCCAGTTCTGCATGGGGATATTCTGCCCTTGAGGAGGTCCGTAATACTGAGGCACCTGTTGGAAACCTTGCGCTCCGGGGCCCCAGTAAGCCGGTCCTCCAAACACCATTGTAACAGGTCGTCTCATTGCGGCGTTTCGCTTCTGAGTATCGATACACGCGCCGACGAATAGGATGAAGTGCCAGAGCCAGATGAGGCAGGTAAACACTGACAGCGCAATAAAAAGCGTGCGTTTGCTGCTAACCTTGTCGCTGCTTGTGCAAATGTATCGTCCTCGTGCAGAATTGTATTCGCAGTCTTCGTCGAGGTAATCGAACTCGCTATAGTATGCGCTGAAAGTGCTCTCGAGACCGCCGACGATAGCGGCACCTAGCCAGATGAAGAGGGAGATGGCGACGTGGGCGCCAGGGTGAATTCCAGCCTTCCATTTGCGACCGAAACGAGTGGCCAGTTCGGCGATATCCCAGATCATAGCTACGACGAACTAGAGAGTGTAAGTACATGACATCAAATCAAGGGGGGTCGGAGACCGTACAAGTGGACAAGCACCGAGCGCGACCAGACCCAGTGTCTCAGTACTTCTGAGCGCGCCCGTAAGACCAAGTCCAACGATACAGCAAAGGATATCGATCCCGTGGAGTGTGAGCTTGGTGATCATCCAGGCCTTGGACTCGGCGACCCGAGGGGGCGTCCATTGCTGCTGAGCAGGCTGTTGCGGGTACGGCGCGTAAGGGGGTCCATAGCTGCGAGGGTCTCGCTGGAAGCCAGGTTGCTGCTGTTGCTGCTGAGCGTACGTCTGAGGGGCATGTTGCGCATTGGGAGGAACAGCGGGAGAAGCTGCTGGCGCAGGATCAGTTTGGGTAGCAGATTCAGGCGCCATTGTACGAAATACGACGGATTTAATAAAATATAAAATGGAACGAAAGGACGCGCCCCGGGAATGAAGGTAGCGCACAGCGATAACGTGTGAAAGAAGCGAATGGAACGGACGAACGAATGACCGGAAACGAAAAAGAAGAGCCTTGTGCGAAAAGAAGGGTAAGACACTGGACAGACTTTATTATTTAAGAGAAAAAGGAACTATTAGCTCGCTTCCAGCTGTGAAACCCCCCGGGCCATTATTCGAGATTGAGGCGTTGGATCAGGACCCCTGAGCCTTGCAAGGAGTAAAACCGCGTTAGTCCCTCGTTTCCATTGGCTTTGCTGCAAGGAGTAGCGCGATGAGTGGAGGTCATGATCCATGGATGGTGATCTAAGGGGCTTGTCGGTTACGGGAATGGCGATTTGTTTGAGTGCCCTACGGAATGGGGATTGCAAGAACCATGTTCAGTACCTCTTCTAGTTCCAGAGCAGAATGGGCTGTAAAGCCAAGGCCGCTCGCGTTGGCTCTGTTTTTCTTGAGGTCCTTCATTCAAGGCTTCTTTAAACATGAAACATCCATGGCTGAAAATGGGATCATGATGCAGGTAAACGCACGAATTGTCGGGAATAGAAACCAAAATCTTTCGAAAACGCCACTAACAGAAGAAACAAAGCGAAATTTTCCTTTTCATCCTTGGCGGCCGCCGTTGAGAACCTCATGGTTAGCCGCTTTGGGTATGGGTCTGGTTGCAGCTAAGATTAGACCTACTAGGGGACAGCATGAGGAAATCGCCGAACCTGAATGCCAATTCCATAGGGCTATTATGCTCAATGTCCCTTTCAATGAGTCAGTCAAACTGGACCCAACGAAAGACAAGGTTGAACTCCGTAAATCTCTAGCAATACGGAGTACTCTCCCACTAAGCAATGCCTACCTAGCCTTTGGTCAAGTGCCTGGCCAAGACGGGCAACGGATGTTGTGACATTGATACATCACTTCTGCCGGCTTGGCACCAAAACGTCCCATTGAGATCATTCGTCTCTGTCGGGAAATCACCGATATGCTCTGTGAAATGAATGCGATGGGTATCAATCGAATCGTCTCCTGGCGCTACTTCGGCGACAATGCAAGCGCTTATTTTGTATATATAATATCCAAGATCTTCCCGTCGCATACACCATTTATTCTCGCTGTAGAACCACCATGAGACCCATAAATCCCAACATCACTGTCTTTAGCCAAGGGTATTCCGATAGAAGAATCGTCACGTAACCGACGAATGGCATGTATCCCACAACGCTTCCAATAATGTCACTTCGTACGAGGTAGTCTTGGTTCTTGGCGTAGAGCTCGGTATCGTCCGACATGTTGTTGTCTCCCTTGGTGAGAAGCTGAGCGGTGTCACTGCACATCATTAGCCATTGCTCACAACTCCTGCACAAACAACGTACCCCTTGCCAAACTTGCGTACAACTCGGTGCACAATAGGAATGTCCTTGTCCTTGACGTTGTAAACGACAACCTCCCCAATCTCGGTCTCCTGTACTAGGTTTCGGTTCCAGAGGAAGAGGAGGTCGCCTCGCTGGAAGGCGGGCTCCATGGAGCCAGATAGAACGACGACGATCGGGGACGGTGAATCGCTGATAACGGAGAGGCCTTTCCACATCTGCGACAGGTTAGCTTTCGTCCAGGCGCTGAACAAGACACGTTCGCACCATGAAGGCCGTAGAGAGGATGAGCGCAAAGTTCATGAGCTGCGCAGCAGCTTGCCGCGGGTTTCCAAGAGCCGACAGCATGGTGAGGGATTGTATATGGGTGTCGTGAGGCGAGAGGATGTTGTTGTAGAGCTAGACAACTCCACGATGCAACTTTCGCGCTGGAGCGAAATGGACATCTGGCTCATGGGAGCTCGGGGAGCACGGGCCACCTGGTCTGGAACAGCTGTGGCATTTTGAGGCTGGTGTTTTGTGGCGGTGCTGGATCAAGATGGTCCCCATAATTTCAGGGACCTTGACGCTATAAATGGTCTAACGCGGGGGGTGTCATGCTCAAAAGAAGGTGATGTCATGACTGCTTGTGAAGCATGAGATCGATGTCATAGGCGTTGCAGGCGAGTAAGGAGCTTGGTATTTAAAATGGTCGTCTCTGCTGGTCTTTTTCCTTGTGTTTACATTCTTCTTCATAATCTCCAAATTCTACCGATCCAAGCATTTTGATCTTCACCAGAACCAACTCAAGTACCTGCACTTACACCAATAACGAGACTCAAAATGGCCGACAACAACAACCAGCAGCCCGGTCTCATCGGCAGCCACGCCCAATACGTCAAGGGAGCCGCAGAGGTAAGTCCTTCTCAATTCCCCCCGCGAACTCTCACTCACACCTTCCAGGCTACCATTGGCGCCATTACCGGCTCTCAACCATGGAAGGCTTCTGGTGAGCAGGACAAGGCAGCAGGTCTTGCCGATATGAAGAAGGCCGGCGAGCTTCGAGCGCAGAACGACCCGAACCACGAGAAGGGATATGGAAAGGTCGAGGAGGTTGCAGGTAGACTTACCGGTTGCCAGGGTATGGAGCGAGAAGGGCACGAGAGCGCTGCGCCCAAGCAGGAATAAACGAATTGTATTATTGATGAGTGTACGATAGAACTAGCATTGCGATAAGTTGAGTTGATTGACTCGGCTGATAATACTGAAATCTTCATAAATTTAGGGTCCCGAAACGTGAGGGCCTCTCACTCTTGCCTCCTTCCTTTTCGCATCGCCTCTCATGCGCCTTCCAGTTGTGACTGCCTTCTTCGCTAACATCACAGCACCTTCTTTCTTCAGCTGCTGGCCGACACTTACCTACCACGATGGCTTCGTCCTCTCGTCTCTCTTCTTCCCGGCTTCATCATCGCGTTTCTTTGTCTCGTTCAGCATCGCCTCTTCAACGCCTGATCCCCTACATTTCTTGGCTCCATCGGCTCCTCGCTCCAGCATCACCTCACTGCAATCATTTGTTTCACCGCATCTTTTTGATCATCGATCTGCACCCTCCTCGCCTTCTTTGCTGCTCCCGCTGAGTCTCCGTGATGGATTCAGCACCTCTCCTCCAGAACGCCGATGGCCTCCCCAGCCCCAATGTGATGCAGGATCATGTAAGTCATCTCCACGATGCTTTGGATCATTTTCCCTTGCTGACTTGATGGTTTATAGCCTGCCTTCCTTCGAGCATCTCACTCCCCGTGGTCATTCATTCCGCAGAATGTACTCGTTATCTTGCGTGGAATCGTTTTGTCGCTTGTCACAGCCGTGGGAATCCTCGTCCTCAATTACGAGATCCACGAACAAAGCGAGTTCTCTGATTGGCGCATCGTCTTCGACTTTGCCAACATCAGTCTGTTCTTTGTCTTTCTGTACCAGCTCAAGACCTTCGTGAGTTTTGCCTGAGCATTGTCTCCGCTGTTGCTGACCTCTCTAGTCTTGGACATTCACCCATCTGTACTATCCCCACCATCATGATCGACACATGGGGGGCTTGGAAGGATGGCTCATCCGAAGAATGTCGCTCCCCAAGCACATGGGTAGCCTCCGCAAGCAGTTCTACTTTACGCTCTTCTACACCATCACTGCTGTTTTCGCTTTTGCCAATTCGACCATCTACTTCTTCATCACGCGCCAGCACGATAGTGATGACAACAGTGGCGAGCCTCAACCCGAGCCTCAACCCCCCAACGGTACCGCTTCGCGCGTCTGGGCTCCATATGCCGAACAGACGCCTGCCGCTCCATGTAAGAGCACTTTCCTCATCGCATGTTTGTCAACTGACCATAAATAGTCACCGACATCTTTGGAGAGGGATGGTTCCGTGC